TTAAGAAAGTCACGGGGTATCCAAATGCACCCAAGAAAAAAAACAACCATTGGATTGACTTCGAAACCACTGTTCTAAATGTCTTTATGTCTTTAAATTTTGCCTTCCTAGAATCCTAGAGACATATTTACAAACTTGGATGTGCAATCGATGTTTGCAAGGCTCCGCAGGGATTGATATTTGATCGAACGCAACCATCCTCCACATCTCCATCTGTTTGACACATCCATGAAGTTGGTGGTGGGATCAAGCCTCACCAATACTTCTTATCAGAACCTTGTGATCCCCAAATTAATCAATTCTCACCATAGCTACGAAGTAGCAACTAAGAGACCAAAGAAATGACATATCCAGCTCAATCAATCTGCAGTGCTTCTGAAAAAACGGTCCCCGAATAGCTACGTACGAAAAAAACATGATCTGGCAGTGCCATCACCAATGAAAAACATCCAGCCGCCAGCCGTTGGCCGTTGCGTCCTCAACTCTTTACCAGCCCACCAGAGATTGGTTTGTGCTGGTTCCAACCTTGGTGGGAAACAAAATTGGCTGTCATGTTTTTTTTGCTATTTGATGGTTATTTAATCGTTGGAGTTCCAAAAAAGCAAGCTCGTGATATACCTACGCCCTAGTGTGTAAACATACACAAAGATGCAGAAAACCCATGGTTTCCCGTTCGCAACATGATCTCACGGTGGGTTTTCCACATCTATGCAAACGTTTACAGGTCTTGTAACTGGAGATGGATGGATTTTGAAACGCCAAGACTCTTGGCCAAGATAGGACGGCACAGGAGGAGACAACAACCAGATTAGACTGTTGACATCAACAAGGTTCCAACTCAGACTCAGACTGGGCCTTAATGTTGCCAACATATTGCTGTTTTAAAAAAACAACATAAACTCTTTGCCGAGCCTTAATCTTACATGTTACATCATGTTCCTTGTTGATCTTGCAAGTACAACATTCAGCAATATGCTGCCCGGTTTCAACGATCAATCAGTCAACTCCACTGAAATTTCACTACACATTCCTGATATTTCCTGCTTATGGAATATGTATGGGTATGTCAAGTTTATTCAAGTTTCATTGATCATTGACTGATAATCGACTCCATTGACAATGTCCCTATTCTATTAAGAATTGATTCTATATTCCATATTCCACATTCAATTTAGTTAGTATCATATTGCGAAAAATATCCGATCCTTCACTTTCTCAGATCTTCTGATATTTCCTGATTTTCACAACCCATATCCATCCCCCCATCCGCTGCTCGGCTGCTCGGCATCCCGGCACAGATTGCAGCTCTGACGCGCCATCCAACTCTTCTTGTTCTTCCAGCTCTTGCCGGGCTGGATCCTGGGGGACCACTAAAAATTAGAAGTACCAAAAAATTGAAGCATTCGTGCACTTAATCATGTGTATATATATATACTGTATATATTATGCTCTGTAGATGTACACTAGTGTATACTATAATAGGCATAGTATGTAAAGTATATTGTATGTATAGTCTTTGTAAAATATGTGTATGTATGTATGTATATATATATTATATACAATATATAAATATGTTTGCTCAGATAGGGAGAGAGAGAGAGAGAGAGAAACATACCCCATGTGCTAGTATGACCTGGTATGCATGATATTTCGCATGGTTTCAATGTGTGACTACCTAGAACAAACGACCGAACAAATGTGCCAACTCACAGGAAATGAGTATCCGAAATTGAATTAGTTCTATGCATGTATGTATATATATATATGATGTATGTATATACTGTGTATATATATATATATATGATGTAAATATATATAGATATATATATATACATGATATATAGATATATATATATATATGATACATATGATATATTATATATATAGTGACGGACATGTACTTAGAACATCAATTTTTTCCAAAATTTCGAAACCTCCTCTTAGAACATCAAAATTACCATACTTAGAACATCAGAAATGTTTCTAAGTACGCACTTAGAACATCAGAAAAACAGATACTTAGAACATCTCCATTGATTTTTGCATACTTAGAACATTAAAACACACATATACTTAGAACATGTCCTGTTACTTTGGTAAATCTGCATATATACACACAAATACCTTGGTGAACACCATACTTAGAACACTTTCTCCCTAGCCTATTAGTTTATAAATATCCGCCGACCCCGGCAGAAATTAGGCGGCAGGGGCGGCAGCCCTTAAATAAATATATCTATATATAGTATTATATAGTGTGTATATATATAATTAGCGACGGACAAATACTTCGAACATACATATATGTATGGTTCCCATTGGTTCCCCACTGGGATCTTCTAAGTATAGCTTGGAAATGTTCTAAGTATAGGTTTTGGGTATGTTCTAACTACTTTTTTTGAACCCCATACTTAGAACATCCCCGCTGTGACGATTTTCAGATTTTTTTTCCAAATGATGTTCTAAGTAGTTGTCCGTCACTATATGGTCCAGCGTTCCAACCCCGGGGGGCCATGGTCATGGGTCAGCCATAGTACTGTCCCCCTCCCCCCCTGTGGTGTGGTGGGGTGTGTGGTGCGGGGGGGTGTAGTGTATGTATGACAATATATATGGCATGACTATGGTATGTAATTATCTCATGTACGGTATGCTTGGTATGTATGGTATGTTTGGCATCTATGGTTGGTATGGTACGTATTGTATGGTTGGAATGTATGGTATGTTTGGTATGTATGGCAGGTATGGGATGTATGGCATGTATGGCATGTATGGTTGGCATTGTATGGATGGTAGGTGTGGTGTGTAAGTATGTTGGGTATGGTATGTTTGATATGACGGTATGTATGGTGTGCATGGTCATGGTATGGCATGTTTGGAATGTATGGTATGTTTGGAATGTAGGTATGGTATGTATGGCATGAATGATTGGTATTGTATGGATGGTAGGCATGGTATGTAAGTCTGTTGGGTATGGTATGTTTGATATGGCAGCATGTATGGTCTGCATGGGGTGTATGGTTACTATGATGGGTATGGAATGTTTGCTATGCAAGGTAGGTATGGTATGTATGGTATGTATGGCATGTATGTTCGGTATTGTATGTATGGCAGGTGTGGTAATTATGTCTCATATGTATGGTATGTGTGGTATGTGTGGTATGTATGATAGGTATGATAGGTTTGGTATGTATGGTCAAAGTTCGTATGGTATGTGTGGTTTGTAAACCAGAGTAAGGCATGTATGGTTGATATAGTATGTATGGTAGGTTTGGTAGGTTTTGGTGTGTATGGTACAGTAATTATGGTACGAGTAGTAAGGGCTAGGGGGGTGGGGCGGGTGATGGTACAGACCGTCGTTAGATCGTTTACGGTAATTCATAAGTACGATATAAAAGCATGTGCGTAGTATGTCCCTAGTATGCAGGAAAGATATGTTAAACACATGTAGTGTTGTGAGAGTACACAGGTAGTAAATAGGAAGTAGATACATAGCACATGTATATATGACTATAGGTAGCACGTAGGTACTTTGAGGAAGTATGTGTGCTACGTAGGTCGTCTAAAAGGTAGCATGTACCTAGTAAATGCGAGGCTGGTAGTCAGAAATGCTGCAAAGACCTAGCAAATACGAGGCTGGACTCAGAAATGCTGCCAATAGCTTGCAAATAAAAGGGAAGGGGGTGGTACCTGGGGACCCATACCATCGGGGGGGGTAGGAACACGAAACACGAGACCATATATGATAAAATCATGTATAAATAAATGATATATATCTAGACGAAATATTTACATATGATATATATATATGATATATATGTAAATAAATATATATATCTATGACATATTTACATACGATATATATTTTTTGATATATGGTATATATATATACCAATGTATCAATTAAAGACACATATGTTATCCTTAGCAGAAAGCTGGTTTTCATCCGTTTCTGACCGGACCACCCAACAGCTCTGATCAGAACTGAGCTCCAGGCATACACTGGAAGGCGATGGAAGGCCGGATATGCAATCCTCGGAGCTTTCAAGACCATTTCTGGACCTCCATCCCCACAACTTGAGGAAACCCGTGGGCATCAAAGATCTACGGCCTTGCAAAATCAATGTATTAAATCCCCTCCACACCTATTTTCAAATAAACTTTTGAAACCAAATACTAAAAATGTATTGGGAGGATCCCCCACCTCTTTAGGTCTTCGGCAAGACACATCACTGCTCCACGCATGTTGTCAATTTGCGTCTGGCAGGCCTGGCACATACCGAAATGTCTCCTGTCTTGAATGAGTGTGAAAGAAAAACAGATCACTTTGAAACATCGGTATCTTGCATTAAAAAACATTAAAAATACAAGTTCTATCAGCCAGGTGTGCCTGCGGCTTCAGTGATTGGTGTTGAATCCCCAGTCAAACTGCTCAAAGTGTAGGTTGACCCAAACGCACGTCACGACTTTCAGCCCCTCCGCCTTTTTGTCGATGCTGCGTTTTTGTTGCACCAACTCACCAGCAACTGCGGCCTCCCACGTGCAGCTACAAACACTCCTGGTAGTACACATGGTTTTTGTTTAAACATGCCAAATCTCAGAATCAGTTGACGTTCAACTCTGTTTGGGAACCACGACTTTGGGTCAACTTTAACTTTAAGAACCTGATAGGTGCAAGTACTCTTGCCAGCTTGCAAGATGCAAACGACATTTGCTTGAACAACACTCCCCTACATGCCATCCTGTCGTCCCGTGGTCACCTTTTCCAATATTGGGTATAGCATGGTATGGCTATGGCTAAACCATAGCATCAAAGAAAGCACAATGATGCACCATGCATTATGTTTGGGTCATTTTGGTGACGCAGTGAATTGTGGTCGACCACTTCTAGCTGGATCCCAGTGGCCGCTGCTTCTTCGGCAGTTCTTGACAGCACTTCTGCCACCTGCAGGCCATGTTGCTCTTGGCAGTCAATGGTGGATGATATGATGATGATGATGATGATGATGATGATGATGATGATGATGATGATGATGATGATGATGATGATGATGATCATGATGATGATGATGATGGTGATGATGATGATGATGATAATGGTGATGGTGATGGTGATGATGATGATGATAATGGTGATGGTGATGATGATGATAATGGTGATGGTGATGGTGATGATGATGATGATGATGGTGATGGTGATGGTGATGATGATGATGGTGATGATGATGATGGTGATGATGATGATGATGATGGTGATGATGATGATGATAATGGTGATGGTGATGATGATGATGGTGATGATGATGATGATAATGGTGATGGTGATGATGATGATGATGATAATGGTGATGGTGATGATGATGATGATAATGGTGATGGTGATGATGATGATAATGGTGATGGTGATGATGATGATGATGATGATAATGGTGGTGGTGATGGTGATGATGATGGTGATGGTGATGATGGTGATGATGATGATGATAATGGTGATGGTGATGATGATGATAATGGTGATGGTGATGATGATGATGATGATAATGGTGATGGTGATGATGATGATAATGGTGATGGTGATGATGATGATGATGATGATAATGATAATGGTGATGGTGATGATGATGATGATGATAATGGTGTTGATGATGATGATGATGATAATGGTGATGGTGATGGTGATAATGGTGATGGTGATGGTGATGGTGATGATGATGATGATGATGGTGATGATGATGATGATGATAATGGTGATGGTGATGATGATGATGATGATAATGGTGATGGTGATGATGATGATAATGGTGATGGTGATGGTGATGATGATGATGATGATGGTGAAGGTGATGATGATGATGGTGATGATGATGGTGATGATGATGATGGTGATGATGGTGATAATGGTGATGGTGATGATGATGATGGTGATGATAATGATGATGGTGAAGATGATGGTGGTGATGATGATGATGGTGATGGTGATGGTGGTAATGATGATGGTGGTGATGGTGTTGATGATGATGATGATTATGATGGTGGTGGTCATGATGGTGATGTTGATGATGATGATGAAGAGGAGGAGACCGAAACTTGAAGGAAGTTAGATCAGTTTGTGCTTCATCATCAACAACGTGGTCACGCCGCAAGATCCGCTCCTCTGGAGGTGGTGGCACCCCGGTACGAAAGCCAGACTCATCTGGTCCTGTGGCGACGTGGCGAAGCATGCACTGGGACCATCGGTCCGGAGAGTGGAAATGGTTGGGGGGTGCTCATCACCAGTTCCTGAACATATTTATCATAACAATTCATGTTGTCCAGCTAAATGTTCGTCTTTGTCCATCTTTGTCCACTTCATGGTTGAGATGGCAACTCCAAAGTATATATACCAATGCACAAGCGTTTCATTGGATTAGTGATGAGACGCTGCTGAATCACCAGTGATGGTCTGTTGCGGCTCGGAGAAACCACTGGTGAAAAAGGTATCCTGGTATACCAAAATTTGAGACACCGAAGCCCAAATCTATGGTTTCCAAAATGGAAGCCAATTCTTCAAAGGAGCACGTCGTCGGGTTTTTCAAAGCTTATGTACTGTGCAACGTCAGAAGAAATATAGAAAAACACTTGTTTCAATGCTGTTTGACACTTGCGTGGCAAACTGACAAGGCTTCAAATCATGATTGAAACATGTTGAAGCAATGGATTCCGGCTGTAATCACATGTCATCCGTCTTGCACAGCCATGGACATCATGGGCATCATGCCTTTCTGTTGTCGTGAACACTTGTGCACATTCCCAGTCATCTCCGTGACCCGTAATAACTGAGGATCCAGCTGGTGGGTTGGCCATAAGCATTCACATCCAGCTCTGTGACTTTGCTCAGATCCTGGTGAATGGTCTCTTCTCTGCATATTCTCTTTGGCATTGAAGGCACAACGCAGAGTCTGTTTCCAATGAGCTGGCTATCTGGCTTGTATTCATCCGAAATCCAAACAAATTGGAGGGGGGAAAGGAACCAGCTTCACAACAAACCCAACATAACAAAACCTTCCCATCATTCCATCGCGTCGCATTACATTAATCATTCTGCGCTGATGAACTCAAAGTACACAACTCACCTTTTTGGATCACAACAGGGAAGCACTAGAAGCCAATCCTCTGAATGACTTCTTAATGCGGGGTTCTTAGTGAATTCCAGGAAGAAAATCAACATTGCAGTTTCCAGCCATGAACGATTCCCCGTCTTCCAATCTCATCCCTGAATCTCCGAACTCCAAATACTATTTCATCAGACATCAACAGAACTTTTTCAGAAACTTATAGACGTTTCACCAACCCCATCCCCCATCCCCCCATCCCCCCATCCCCGAACCTCCGAGATGCCCCGCGTCTCTTCAGGTCGAAGCGGCCCGTGTTTCGCCAACTCCTGGGCCGCTCGGGAGGTAATGCCGTTGGGGCCGAACGGAGAGAAATGCCCAGGAAAAACGGATCAACATTGGGGTCATAAATGATATATAAATATAGATGAATGATAAATACATGTTTTATCATGTGTTAACCTTTATTTGAGGCTGAATATAACTGGATGCTATATGATACTATGAATGACATTTGATGGTATATCCGATTATAGGTAATAACATGTCATAAGATGTCATAAACACATATTTGGGTGAATGAAGATTAACCAGCCGATATGAATCAATATTTGGGGTAACAAATGATTCTTGCATAAAATAAATTATCGTTTTTTGTTTCTGACTTTTTTTTCCGTTCGGGTACTGGCCAGACCATCATTCACATACTTAATATGGAGTGCATCTATATATATATATATACAGTACATAATCCTATATATACGCGCAACGCCTGGGTTCTGCCCAGGCGTTGCAGCGTATATATCTACAATTCACAAACAAATGATATTGCAAATTACAGTAATTCCTATGGAAAAATAACAAAGGTATTAGGGACTATTAAACAAACAACGTCAAAACACCCGAAATTCCTATGGGAAAAACAAAAACAGCATAATATTTGAAATTTCTATGAGAAAAACAGAAAGGGTACTAGGAAATTTTAAACTCTCAAATCGTGAAACTTAACATTCAATTAGGAAGATCAACAAAGATATTAAGGAATGTTAAACTCCCACCCCCATTAAACCTTAAATTCCTATGGGAAAAACAGCAAAGGTACTAGGGACTATTTAAAAAAAAAGGTCAAAACACCCGAAATTCCTATGGGAAAAACAAAAACGGTATTAGGGAATATTAAACTCCAACCCCCGTTAAACTTTACATTCAATTGGGAAGATCAACAAAGATATTAGGGAATATTAAAACTCCCACCGCCGTTAAACTTCTACATTCACTGAAGATCTTCAATAAGGGTTTAATTGTCCCACCCCCGTTAAACTTCTACATTCATTGAAGATCTTCAATAAGGGTTTAATTGTCCCACCTCCGTTAAACTTCGACATTCATTGAAGATCTTCAATAAGGGTTTAATTCTCCCACCCCCGTTAAACTTCTACATTCACTGAAGATCTTCAATAAGGGTTTAATTCTCCCACCCCCGTTAAACTTCTACATTCATTGAAGATCTTCAATAAGGGTTTAATTCTCCCACCCCCGTTAAACTTCTACATTCATTGAAGAATTGAAGATCTCCAATAAGGGTTTGATTGATGATGGTGATGATGATGATGGTGATGATGATGATGATGATGATGATGATGATACGTCGCCCGTCGTCGTTGCGGGTCCGGGCAGAACCCAGGCATTTGCCGTGTATATATATATATAATACATCATTATACATCAGTTTAATGACTATGTACCCGATGCCACATATGGGCTGAACATTTCTGCATTTCGGAAATTATACCCTATTGGATAATATTCACCATTGATGGATTAATGTGGATTTGTCTGAAACAGAGGTATACCACCAAGAATTGCAATTTGCAGAAGACAATGATGAGTAGACCACCAACTCTTGGGTAACATATTTCAAACAAACCCATACGAATGTTGGGGGTTACATTCCTGAATCAACAAATGACTGTGCTGGGTAATGCCTGGAATCTATGTGTATAATGTTAGCACCTGATTAGTAGCATGGTACTCTATTGTGGCAAAAAGTTTCCTCCTTATTCAGTTCCATGCTGTTTGGGGGGGGCTCTATTGTGGCATTTTTTCCATATTTTTTTATTTATTTTTTAAATTGTTCCTAATTAATTAATTATTTTTTGAATTCATTTTTAAATTAGTTACTTAAAAATGTTTTTCTGTTTTTTCATTTTTTTATAATAAAGCTTTCAAATGCAATGTTTTCCAAATAATTAGATGCCTTATTAAACCCTTATTAAAAAACAGCTTCCAGACAATTTTTCAAGGTGGTACCCCATGAGTGGCTGAGTTACTCAATAATATGAATGTTTGGATGGTACTCTATTGTGCCCAACAACTTTTGGGGTTGAAAAAAAAACAAAAACCCTTTCTCCACCTTTCTTTGAGTAAAGCTGGTCCATTTGTTTTAGAAAAAGATATTTGTGTTAAAGCTTTAAAATGCAAGGTTTTCCAAATAATCAGATGCCTTATTAAACCCTTATTAAAAAACAGCATCCATACAATTTTTCAAGGTGATACCTCATGAGTGGCTGAGTTACTCAATAATATGAATGTTTGGATGGTACTCTATTGTGCCCAACAACTTTTGGGGTTGAAAAAAAAACAAAAACCCTTTCTCCACCTTTCTTTGAGTAAATTGAAATCAATTAAAAGTAAATTGAAATCAATTGAAAGTAAATTGAAATCAATTGAAATCAATCAAAAGTAAATTGAAATCAATTAAAAGTAAATTGAAATCAATTGAAAGTAAATTGAAAGTATATAAATTGAATCAATTAAAAGTAAATTGAAATCAATTGAAAGTAAATTGAAATCAATTGAAACTAAATTGATTTCAATTGAAAGTAATTAATTAATTAAATTGAAATCAATTGAAATCAATTGAAATCAATTGAAAGTAAATTGATTTCAATTGAAAGTAAATTGAATCAATTCAAAAAAAATGTTGGGGGGGGGGCGCAAAAAAATGGTCAGTTATTGAGTAGACTAAAATTGTTTGGGGGGGGGCCCTCACACTAATCAGTCGAGAACATTATACATATGAATTTATATGAACCCATCCATGTAATTTAAATGGATTGAATTAGATATTGAGGGATATTAGGATGTGCATCAACTGGGGCTTGTCAGTAAAGGGGATGAATATCTCGAGTGATGATTTTCTCAATTGGTGGTTATCCATTTCATCTCCTTTGGGGTAATCTTACTGTGTCTTAAACAACCTTTCCAAGCCGTCTCTTGAATGCGTTGTAATCATGCTGGCGAAAATCAAGCTAGATCCTCCGAGCATTGACTATTCCCTAAGAACCCCCTCAGCATGTCAAAAATATTGAATTGACATGAATTGACATGTTCACCATCCCCTCAAGACAGTACCCAGGCTTCGAAGGTTTTCTGAAGTGATCCACCAGAGATCCCACAGACAGCAGAAGCCCACCTTGCAAGCCATCGCGAGCCTCAAAACCTTCAACCTGTGCAGAGATGTGGAGCGATTCTTGATTTGGGCCTCTCCGAAAATAGTGTTCCCCACTCCACCCAATGGATTTTCATAATGTTCCTTTTAAAATCCTTAAACAATGATAACTTGGGACATACACCATTTTCATCCATTTTCAGACACCCATTTCAAATGACTCAAGTGCATGATTTGTCCGATTGATATCGATTATATAATCATTTTTATATCTTTGCTAACGCCTCCAAAGCGACTTGCCAAACTAGCAGGTTAAGTCGACCAGAAACCATGCAGGTTAAGTACCCGCAACCTCAAGTTATGGAGCTCGCATAGCTCTTTCAAGAGTTCTCCGTTGTTCACCTGGATGCTGGGAAAGCCAACCAAGAGATGCTTCGGTCAATGCAATCAGCAATCACAGTAAAAAAACAAACACGCGGGTCGAAAGGTTACCATCCATCCAACATGACCCAACTGTAGTTTGCTTCAGAAAACATCTTAATTTAAGAAGCAATACCATGCAAAACCTGCAGCTTGTTCTGTGATGCAGAACATGGTGGGGGAACATTTGAGATTCTCCAATGGATCACAAGAGTCCGGGAGTCTGAGATGCAAAAACTCACTTGAACAAAAGCCAGAATCAAAGAGTCTCAGATCATCATTCACTGGGCACCTTCCGAGGGTGAACCCTGGGGCACCTTCACCGTCGTCTCATAGAGGAACTCGTTCTTCTTTTCAGATCGTTTCACCTCCAACAGCACCATCTGCCCGACCTGCCAGGGCACCACCGGCGCGCTGTCTTGATGGGCTGTTTCTTCTGAGGATAGGTCTGGCAAACCTAAATGGCAGGTATGCTGTAGTGACTGTAGTGCTGCAGTTGTATAATTCTATGCATGTATGAAAATGTGTTTAATTACATACCTAGATGATGAACAGATGTGTGTATTATTATACAATAGTACACATACGTCTGCTGGAAACATACAGTCACTGTGAAGACATCGCCCCCAGAGCCACCGCAGCCTGGCTTGGGACCTGTCAATGGAGCGGTTTTGATCTTCAGCTCTGGAGCCACATCGGCGGCGCATTGTGGGTCAACTTTTGGGAACAAATCACCATTTCAGTTCAGGTCATCTCTAGATTCTTTGGCCCGTATGTCAGTATCAAAAAAACACGTTGGGGCAAAATTAATTTTTGGGCAGTCTTTTTTTGTCTGGCAATCGCAAATTGGCACCTTGGGAATCAGAATAACAGAGTTTGGTGCCAAAACGCACATCTATATTGATAGAAAATATCGGCACTGACTGGACTACTGATGAATGAACGACCTAAACCTAGTCATCCAAAACACTTGGTCACTCAAAATTCCTGACCACAAACACAAAGACCACAGTAACATGATATGTAGACCCACCCATAGAATTTGCAGAAAATGCATGGACATGCTACGTAAAACTGAACCTGCGAGACCTTATATATAGAGGATAAAAAGGCAAGGTCCCCCGATTAGATCCCACCAACTCAAACGAGCTGCGCAAAACCCATACAAAGGTCTGGCAGCAGCTTTTGTCAGTGGATACTAGTTCATACTAATTTTCATACTAGTTCTACGTACATTTAAGTCATTGAAAACAGCAAGACTTCTGGTAAACCGCGCTTCATCCCATGGACTTTTTTCAACCTCATCGTTTGACGCTCATCTGCTGCAGCTCCACCGGCTGTGTTCGGACACGGCCACGGCCAGCTCCACAGTACCTGCCTTCACCGTCCTTACCGGTCGCTGGTCTATTGGCCACCTGCAGATGGATCACGAAGGAAATGGTTCACCTTGGATGATCTTGGATGATCTTCAGTAGTCGAGACGTTGATATTCCAGTTGCCGGGCTTCCCGCAGCCACTTCATCTGGGGCCAGGCTTCTTTGGTACTTTTGATGCCCACCTTTTCCATCCCTCGCCGCACGTGCTGGACGAACTCGTCCCAGCGTTTCTCGTCCACCATGCCTTTGGCCGTCCGCCAGCGCATCAAATTGCACTCGGCGGCCAGCAGCAACACCTCTCTGGGAGCAGGAGGAAAGGTCCTTGATGCAGCAAAATCACAGGTGAAGGAGCAAGCAAATATGAGTATGGCTCAAAGGTATACCGGTATACCAATGAACTCCAGTGAACCTACAAATTGGGTCCGAGTTGGCAATTTCATACATTTCCGCATTCAACCACCCAGTTGTTTTTGGTTGAGCCAACCCCAATTGACATGGATACTTTGGCAATGTCTACAGCATTCATATGCATGGACGTTGAACCCAGTCACATGGTGAAGCATGGGTAAGCCACGAACAAAGTCAACGAGGGGGATCTGTCTTCAAATCTTCAAAGTGTCTTGTCAAATATCAAACTATGCATTTTCAATATTAAGATATATGAATATATATATATATATATTTATTTAGTTATCTCTTGTGAATTTGTGAACCCTCCAAATTGAACCAACATCTGCTGTTTCTCCCATGATCTGTTTCTCTCATTTCTCCCCCTCTTTGTCAGATGGCCACTGTCTAAACCCATGACATGCCAGGCTTCTGGGGACTTTCTCGCCTCTTCAAGCTCCGGGTCTTGGCCGCGTTGCCATGCGCCAGGACCACCCAATCTTCCATGCGACGAAAGCCGCAGTCGGGACACGACACGATGTCAAGCTGCGACCAAACTCCGGCCTGTGACTTTGCCGGCGGTGGCAAATTCAGCATCATAGACAGTTGAGCTGGCAAAAATAAGCCTCAAAATATAAACAAATGAAAGTCAACAAGAATCAGAACATGAAGAGGTACGTTGGAAAAGAAAACACATGTATTGAAGCACACTCCAGGTGTGCCGATATGAAGTTGATTCCGTTACAGTACCAGTATCATCAGCGTGTGGTGTTACCACCTCATTATTGTGCTACATCATTGCAATTGGGTGATTTTATAACTTGTCTACATGGACAATATCTGGCTGAATCATATTAATTCAATTCGCCAACTTGGAATCAGCCATATAGTAATGTATACCGTAGTAATCATAGTAATTCACCCATCATAGAGAATCTCATGCTGTCTTGGTTTCCCCTTAAAATAACCACATCATCTACGTCGCTTCACGTCGTGGAAACCGTGTCACACCTCATGCCCTTGAGTCAGTTGCCAGAGCAACAACGGCGCTCCAGGTTTCAGGCCTACGACGTTCGACTGAGACAACCCAATTTTCTTTGGGTGTGTAAATGTGTATCTGTATCTGTATACTCTACTTATATACAATATTTATTGGTTGTATTTGGTTGTATACTTTCAATCATATCAAACCACCAAAAATCCATCAGACAATACTGTAATGTACTGTAGATGTTCTCCGTAAAGAAATTCCATTGTAGGGTTTTTCCGCAAAGAAATTACACAATAGTAGACATTCAAAATTCGAAACGATGATTTAAGATAGATCAACTGTGACATTGATCCCATAGGCCGGAGCGGCCGGACTCGCATACAGAAAGTCACCACCGCGAAGCATGGCATGTTGGGAAATAGAGCTATCAACATGATTCATAATGGTACATCTTGCTCTTAATCTCATGTCAGATCATTTCACAGACAGTTGTGACAGAATCATAAGCTGGATGCGCAGGTGGTTTGCCCAATGTTTTCCATCACCTATGGCGATATGGTGAGGTTGCTAGATGGCCAGAAGCACCTTGTGTCGCAGCAAAGAGCACATCCCGCGACAGCAGCTTGCTCCGTTGCAGTTGCGCTAAATCTTTGTGGTACGTCATCTGGTTGTGGTCCATGTACACAACATCCACCTAGGCTGGCTGCTCTTGTGGGCTCAATTTCATGCCGTTGATGGTTGGTGGTTGATAGATAATGGGTACCTCGATGTACCTCGTATATCCTGTGCGAAATCTTCAGATCTCCATAGAGCCGCAGCATAGGGGCATGGCAATTGTGGATTCAGTCAACAACACCTGTTTTTTTTTGCTTTCCCCACGAAGATACTCATCCAAAAGCTGATCTTTGCGGGTCACCCACCGAGATACAGCCATCCACTACGTGCTGTCAAGAAGCAGAACCAGGATCAAGTTCCTCTTTCCTCACATTTGGAATAAGCTGCTGTAGTTTTCTGGCCACAAAAAGGGCTTGCTTGATAAGGGCTTCGGAATATTCGGCAAACATTTTAGCAATCATCATGTTGGCAAAATCTTTGTCTGATTGCTTCTCAATCCCTCGTCAGTTTACGTGTTTTGGGCGACCAACTTGAGATCCCGAGCATGGGTCAAGACTGGGCTACTTAGGTACCTGAAAGGATGGATGGTTTGCTGTAGTTAAATATTCTAACATATTTTCAAATATGAATATGAAATAATATGAACATAATCCCAAAATTTCAACCATACATCATTTCGGTTCACTTCTCCATTTCTGTTGCTTCACGCTGCTTCATCTCCAAATCCTTCTTGGTTTATATCCCCATTCTTTTCATTCCTGTTGGAGATCAAGACACTCTACCCAATAGTATAACATAGTATTACCACATAATCCAATATAATCCATATATATATATATCCATAATATACCCCCATCATTCATTTCAAGTCTCAGTTCTTCCACCAACTCTTCACATTGGCCAATGCGAACCTCAATGGCATCGCTAAGCCCTGCAAACTCGATGAAGTTCAAAGCCTCAACAGAATCATTGGGAACTGTCATCAGGTAATCATCATCAAATATGGAGATTTCTGGTGATTTAACCATCAACCAATATCAAACATGTGGATTTATCATCATTTGTTGGTACGTAAACAACCAGAATCAGGGTTGCTCCAACCTATCACAGGTAAATGATAGCCTCAAGGGGGGGGGGGGAAACTTGTGGGTTTACCTCAATAATTTGGTCCCATTGTAGGGGAACCTCTGAAGCTAAGTGGCCAGGCATGCCACCTCGGGGTCCATTTCGAAGCTGATGACCTGACCATTTTTTCGGACGTCTGTTGGAGCACCAAGCAATGAGAACATTCCACGGATTTTCACCAACCATCAAACTCAGATTGGGTCAACAGGAATGGAAATTCATGGGAAAATCGTGGGGAATCTCCTGACTCAAGGCTGCGCATGTTGCAGGAGATTTGGATATCGCACTTAAGCACATTAATGACATGTCACATATCAAAATAGTTGAAGAATTCTGTCTCCCAGCCCTAAGATGCTGGAGTACCCAACTATGTGTTAGGAATCTATCTTCTATCGTGTATGATTCAAATTTCCCATCTTCAATTAAACAGTGTTCAAAACCCCTGTTGGTTGATTATTATATGGGTTATACTACGTTAAACTATGTAATACTATGTTATACTACGAGTATGTTATCCTACCCAATAGTAATAGAGGATTATCAGAATCCATGACCTGCGAAATCTCATAAGATAGTATGGGTACATCCCCACTCAATATTGATGATCCAATGTGTAATGGGGATATTTCCCACTAATATCAATATATACATCGTAGTTCCCTTTAACATGGATGATCCATTAAAAAAAAAACATGTGAGTCTGCAGCAATAGTAACCATCCCCAATTCTACCATTTTTATAGGTGGCATAAGCATGCATCAACCATCAATCCATAGGCTGGTTTATGGCATTTTACAAACATTAAGGTTGGTAAAACAATGTCATACACCACCCATTTGTGAATGGTTTATAAGTTATACCACCTATAAAAATGGTGATGACTGTTAGACGGTTTATGGCATTGTTTTACCTAGAAGATTCACCAGCCAGCACCATCCACGCCTTGGCTCCCGGTCCCAGCTGTCGCCAGATTTTCACCGCCGAATAGCCCAGGAAGGTGCCAAACTCCAAGGCCACACAGCCCTCCTGGCGGCCGGAAACATCTGAAATCCGAGGGAATGTTGACCCTTCACTTTTTGGATCTTTCAAGATCTTCAAAAAAACCTGCAAAAACATCGGAAAACACCCATGAAAACCATGAAACACCTGCTAAAAACCTTAGGATTTTTGTTTTTTTTTCGCACTTTTTTAAGATTTTGTTCACCACTTAGGTCATTCCGTTCTTGGTGGCCCCGGCTGCCTGTCCTTGGTCTTGGTGGCCTTGGTGGCCCAGGCGTCCTCCAAGACCTGGCCCTTCTCATCCGCAGCACCGAACTTCAGCCAGTTCTTCTTGCCTGGCAGCGTGGCGCAGCGTGGCGCAGCGTGGCAGGATCCAAAGCAAAGGATGTCAAGAGAAAATGACATCCTAATGACGAACACAGTAATGTGTCATTCTTCATTTGGTTATACTATTTATTATCAAAATCATAATGGTATATATAAGTAAGCCTTATTAATCTAATTTTCATTATCATCATTGTTATTGTACTATGTACAAGTACTGTCCTATTCGGACTGTTGAGCCCCTAATTGCTAACTTGAAAGGGAAACTATACTCCTCATGTCGATGGCTACAAGCAAAACATCCTGAAAGCAGAGTGCAGGTTTCTGGTGCGGGAGAAGTGCTCCAGGCCCATCAAAGCGCTTGAAATATCATTCGGCTTCCTCGGGACACGCTGTGCAGAATGATTCTATGGTTCTCCAGCCGAATCTCATCGCAGAATCATGGCCTCTGTTGCATCGTGGGATATATTAGGATTGTTGGTCTGCCTCAAATATTGCAGCTCAGTTCCAATCTGGCAGTTGCCCACTTGGACAAAAGACAGTCCCCCACTCTTCAACACAGTTCATTGACTATGGGAACGACTTCAAGATTCACCTACTATAGTGATGGTGGTTCAATGCACAACGTCAACATATACAATTTTGAATCTGTGTATTTATGTTCATTTCCAGCCACAGGTCCAAACTCAAACTGCTCTGATATGTTCAAATCAACCACAGGACGCGACCACCAGGATGACCACACGAAATCGCCAGCCAGCCAAGTTTCGCTCGTGACAAGGCGTGGTACAAGGCACGGACGTATTTGTGAGCTCTGGGCCCTGGATTCCTCACTGGAAACCGAGGGTATGATGTGACACAAGCTTTCACTTCTCGGCATGTCAACTCCGTCAGACTGGGATCATCTCCCAACATCCGATGCTTTGATACAAAAAATGACATCGACAGGTATTTAAGTACTGAAGCCACCACTTACACTCCGGATTTCCCAAAATTCATCAGCAAATTTTCTGCCAAAAAAGTCGTCCTCATCCCAGGGAAGGCCGGCGAGCCCGTCACCCTGCTCTTCACGCGCTCAGCCAGGCAGTAGCTGACGGGGGTCCAGAGATCCTGGAACCATTTGAAACGCGTTTGATACGCATGGATTTCCACAGCGTTTTGTATGACTGGAGGGTAGCTGGTTGTTGAGTTTCAACCCATTCCAAACCATGGGACAAATCTATGAACATCACTTGCGTACTAGAAGATTTATATAACCAAGCAGGCAGAGACACATATTTGAAACACATCAACTGGCAATGGCCGTCAGGTTCCTACCGCTTGGTGAGTGTAATGATCCTCACAATACACTTGAATGTTAAAAGCTGAAGTTCACAATCGTAGAAGTCTTGTAGAGGAGACCTCTGAGCACGACACATCGCCAATTTACCTGTTTTCAAAAAAAAGCCTTTCACGATGTCCCCTAAATTTCAGTCCTGAAACAAACCTCCGGCGTCTATGTCCATGATCATGGTCAGAGACCTCTTTGATCTCAAAGATCATTGATTCAATAAGACAATAAGATGTAAACAGAAACTGTCCGTTCCCCTAGAATCCTTCTCTGCCATGACTTTCAAGACCTGGTCGCACTTCTCCATGTCTTGCGCTTGCACATACCGCAGCGCTGCGGCATTGAGCACAGCTGCCTGGCCACTGGCATCAGGCAACTGATGCCCAGACAGGTCTGGTTGCGGGAAAAAATCGTCAACTTGAGGTTCAGATCATATATGAGCTGCTACCTCTTACATCAATGAGCTTAAAACCCAATCATCCCAATCTCTGATATGTTTTGATCATATTAGAAAACCATTAATTACCTACTTACCACCACCACCAGTTACGCAGACTTTATCTATACTATATGGACTTGGAAGCTGAATTCAACTGAACCCTCTATAAAAATGGGGATTGTCCAAATCCCTATGCATACCAGAGTAATTCACTTCAAAACAGCTTGTGATTCTATTTGTTCATCCCATTTACAAACCTGAAATGCATAGCCAAATGAACATCAACCCAAACATATACATGTTTCTTTAAAAAAATCCGATATATTCACCATCGCTTTCACCCATCAAACATTATCAAACATATTTAAATCATAGGGGTCCAGTAGCCAGGGGGTCAAAAACCACGGGACAAACACCGAGTACTTAGAACGTCATTTTGAGACATTTTGAGCTAGTTTGAGGGGTAAAATATGACCATTTCATTAAGCTGATTTGAGCTAGTTTGAGCTAGATTAAGGGCCCAAAATCATATTAAGCCATTTTGAGGAAGTGTCATTTTTGATTACAAGCAGCCACCTTAAAGTAGCTCAAATCAGCTCAAAACAAGTCAAATCAGTTGGACATCATGGGCTGGAGCATAATTCCAACCAACCACCTTAAAATAGCTCAAAAAAATGAAGAATTTTGAGAATTGCAAGAAATCCTAGGAATAAAAAAAAAAAATCATTAAAATCTCAGGAATTTTAAGGGATTTTAAAGAATTTCAAGGAATTCTAAGGAATTTCAAGGGATTCAAATGAATTCTCGGAATTCTAAGGAATATTAAAGAATTTTCAGGAATTTTAATGAATTTTAAAGGATTCTAAGGAATTTGAAGCGATTTAAAAAGGTCTAAGGAATTCTAAGGAATTAAAAAAAAATGCAGAATTTTAATGAATCTTAAGGAATTGTTATTGAATTTTACGGAATTCTAAGGAATTCTCAGGAAGTTGAAGAGATTTTCAAGAATTCTAAGGAATTCTAAACAAGTTTCAGGACGTTAAAAGGGATTCTCAGGAATTCTAAAATAAATTAAAGAATTTTAAGGCACTTTAATGATTTTTAAAGATTTTAAGAAATTCTGCGGAATTTTGAAAAATTTTGATTTTACTACAGTCCCCACGGGTGCAAAATCAATGGTCAACATCTTCCAAAATTAAAGATTCAGCAGTTCGAACGATTTTTAAAGCTGTTTGAGCTAGTTTGAGCTAGTTTGAGTTTGGTATTTTGAGGTTCATTTTCCACCAAAATTATGCAAAAAAATGCCAAACTCAAAATACCTCAAACTAGCTCATTGAGGCTCAATGAGGTTGTTTGAGATATTTTGAGGCTGGTGTTTCTCACGTGATTTTGAGAATATTAAGAAATTTTAACGAATTCTCAGGAATCCTAAGGAATGTTGAAGAATTTTCAAGCTTTTTAATGAATTTTAAGGGTTTTTAAAGAATTTCAAGGAATTCCAAGGGTTTTTAACGAATTCTCAGGAATTCTAAGGAATGCCAAAGAATTTTCAGGAAGCTTAAAGAATTTTCATGAATTTAAAGGGATTTTAAGGACGAAAGTTTTGTGCTATGTTAAGGATGAAAGTTTTGTGTTAAAGACGATTTTTTTGTGTTAAGGACGAAAGTTTGGATTTTTTTCAGGCATTTTCTGATGAATTTTACGGAATCTTAAGGAAAATGAGGAATTTTCAGGAAATCCAAAATAATTCAAATGAAATTTAATGGATTTTAATGAGTTTTAAGGAATTTTAAAGAATTGGAAGGAATTTGAAGGGGTTTAAAAAAATCTAAGGAATTCTAAGGAATTAAAAAAAAATGCAGAATTTTAATGAATCTTAAGGAATTGTTATTGAATTTTACGGAATTCTAAGGAATTCTCAGGAAGTTGAAGAGATTTTCAAGAATTCTAAGGAATTCAAAAGAAGTTTCAGGACTTTAAAAGGGATTCTCAGGAATTCTAAGGAATTCTAAAATAAATTGAAGAATTTTAATGATGTTTAAAGATTTTAAGAAATTCTGCGGAATTTTGAAGAATTTTGATTTTACTACAGTCCCCACGGGTGCAAAATCAATGGTCAACATCTTCCAAAATTAAAGATTCAGCAGTTCGAACAATTTTCAAAGCTGTTTGAGCTAGTTTGAGTTTGGTATTTTGAGGTTCATGTTCCACCAAAATTATGCAAAAAAATACCAAACTCAAAATACCTCAAACTAGCTCATTGAGGCTCAATGAGGTTGTTTGAGCTATTTTGAGGCTGGTGTTTCTCACGTGATTTTTAGAATATTAAGAAATTTTAACGAATTCTCAGGAATCCTAAGGAATGTTGAAGAATTTTCAAGCTTTTTAATGAATTTTAAGGGTTTTTAAAGAATTTCAAGGAATTCCAAGGGTTTTTAACGAATTCTCAGGAATTCTAAGGAGATGCCAAAGAATTTTCAGTAAGCTTAAAGAATTTTCATGAATTTAAAGGGATTTTAAGGACGAAAGTTTTGTGCTAAGGACGAAAGTCTTGTGCTCAGGACGAAAGTTTTGTGTTAAGGATCTGAAAGTTTTGTGTTAAGGACGACATTTTTGTGTTAAGGACGAAAGTTTCGTGTTAAGGACGAAAGTTTGGAATTTTTTCCAGGCATTTTCTGATGAATTTTACGGAATCTTAAGGAAAATGAGGAATTTTCAGGAAATCCAAAATAATTCAAATGAAATTTAATGGATTTTAATGAGTTTTAAGGAATTTTAAAGAATTGGAAGGAATTTGAAGGGGTTTAAAAAAATCTAAGGAATTCTAAGGAATTAAAAAAAAATGCAGAATTTTAATGAATCTTAAGGAATTGTTATTGAATTTTACGGAATTCTAAGGAATTCTCAGGAAGTTGAAGAGATTTTCAAGAATTCTAAGGCATTCTAAACAAGTTTCAGGACTTTAGAAGGGATTCTCAGGAATTCTAAGGAATTCTAAAATAAATTGAAGAATTTTAATGATGTTTAAAGATTTTAAGAAATTCTGAGGAATTTTGAAGAATTTTGATTTTACTACAGTCCCCACGGGTGCAAAATCAATGGTCAACATCTTCCAAAATTAAAGATTCAGCAGTTCGAACGATTTTCAAAGCTGTTTGAGCTAGTTTGAGCTAGTTTGAGCTAGTTTGAGTTTGGTATTTTGAGGTTCATGTTCCACCAAAATTATGCAAAAAATACCAAACTCAAAATGCTTCAAAATGCCTTATTAAACTTTAATAATCCTAGTTTGAGCTATTTTGAGGCCGGTTTTTGTCACGTGGTTTTTGCCCCCCGGGGTTAAGGATCTCTATGATTAAACATGCCCAAGACCCTGGATGATGTTGGATGATGTTGGATGACATGGAAACCTCCAAAAAATGCCTCAAAAAATCGGCCTGCAGGCCGATGTTCTCGCAGCCCTTGGCCATTGCTTCCAGCTGCTCTGCTTGCTCCCTCAGCGATGCATCCGGCACGATGACGCTGCCCGAGACCTAGCGCTGGGAAACCCCAAAAATTCGTGGGACAGTGGGGAGAATCAGGTTCTAGAAATGATGGTTCCAGATGTTTTGGGGGTTCCATGTTAAATTTAAGGGCTGTATGATGGTCCACAAATGGGGTGAAATTGGGAATGTATGGTTCATAAATGTTCATAAGTCTGAGTCTATGGAAGTGAATATATGTGAATATGGGTTTGGGTCTGCTTCGAAATGGGGCGCAATTGATGGTCATGATAACCACTGGATTTTCGGGTACCAGATATTCGGACAAACAAACACATATGAACCATCAAAATGCATCCTGGCCGTCAAATGACAAAGTTGTGGATCATACACTGACACTGGGTTTACAACATACACAGTAATTGATCTCATCTTTTTGTTCAATAATTGCATTCAACGGGCGCATCTGAACGTCTTAATTACAATCTTCTGCATTCTTGGCGTTGCTGTGTATCGCGAATGCAATGCAAACTGATTTGATAAATCATGATATGATCACGAAGCGGCATATACACTTCAAGAATTGCTGCCACTTATCAGCACGAAATCTACTGCAACACATGCAACAATATGTCGACTCATCTTGCCGCATCTAGCAACATGCACAAACCGTAGCCCTTGTATCCAGGTGACCAAACACCGGTGCCTTCAAAAGGCCCTCCATGTGCTCTGCAAGTCCTAACCTACAGCAACGGGCCATGATGGGCCACCCATGGAACAGGTGATGCTACACAAGTCCTCTTGCTGTAAACATCCCTGCTTAGAATCTTAGAAGGGCACATGATTACCTGTTGTACAGAAAGTGGAAGGGTAGGGTATGGTAGGGTATGGTAGGGTATATATAGTCTCCGATGACCCTGTATACAATCGATCCTACCCCTTATGTATGGCAAGATTGATCACGGACAGTTGGAGAACCAATTTCTATTGGGAAGCCCCCAGCTTCATTGGCCATGTGCCCATCTCTGCTTCGTAACACCACCGTCAGCGGTAAACCCCGGCGTTGGACCGGTGCCCAATAATCTTTTGTAGTGTTTCACATAGTTTCATCTATGGCATTTTGATGATATGTACATATGTACATAAAATTTAATAATATAAAATATAAGCAAACAAGACGTGTAAATCGCCATATTTTTTTTGGGTGTCCCGAAGATTCATCATGTTTCCTGCTTCCTGGTTGTCATGCGAGGCACCTGGGTAGGGCCCAAAGAGCCTGTGCCAAGCTGAGTCCAAAGACCTTACCTTGTTGCTCACACGCTGAAGGAAAATGGTGGTCTTTCAGCAGAGAATACACAGAATATACATGGAAAAAATAATGACTATACATAATAGTAATGTGATGTCATGAGGACGCAATCAACCACATGACTATAGCCAGGAAACATGAGGATATAAGCAGGGTTGCCCAATGTTGCCCAGGTGTGTCCCCAAAGTGAAGACCGAGTGGATTGAATCTCTTGAAAACCCAGATTTGAAAGCAGCTGCAGCACTCCCAAGGCGCAAATGCAACCTGCTTTGCTTGGCAACTATCATTCATCGTGCACGGAGTATGCGATACCCGCATTGGTTTATCTGCATATTGGAACTGATGGCTCATCATTGGCACTCTTCCACACATGGACACCACAGCACGCAGTCTTTGGTATCTTTCGCCACTTTTTCTCATGCGAAAAGCCAAACAAATATCATGTCATCAGTTGTTTGTTGTACTGACACGCACAACTATATAACTCGTGAAGAAACTGTGTGGACCAAACCTCTGGTTCCCTGCTACAATCAACGAGTTTTTTCGGAGTTTTGGTGTCTTCAACTTTGAAAGACATCTCAATCTTGACATCCGATAAACCTCTCCCAACAATAATTTATCATCGAATATAAACAGTTGCTGACTATTGCTGATTACAATGCATGAGAACATCCCCAAGATATTCAATAGCCTTCAATAGCTATATCAACATATATCAACTATACCCATCCCTGAACCAACCAAGGCACCCTTGGCCGCCTCCAACGCCGCCACCAACGCCTTGGCTGACGGCGTCACCGAGCCTAGGCCTTCGGGGCGAAGACGGGCCAGGGACCAGAGGCTGCGGCAGAGGTCGAAGCTACTCATGCGGCTCCTTGGGGAAGTGCCATGGAATTGGATCCAGATTCAGGATGTTGATTTAATCAATGATAACAATGAGATTATCGCTCATTGGGACACAATGATATATATATATATACTAATAATATGTAATATATAATATTATAGGCTATAGATGGCTATAGGTGATTTGAACGCATGGATTCTTGAATTAAGAGATTCAATTGCAGATCAGCATCACAAGAATGGGATGTCGGAAGTATCCAGAAATGGGGCATGACATTTCTTGAAAAAACAACACAGAAAAATGCAGGAGCTCAGTGAACACGCATGGTAATGTATAACAAAGTAAAAAAATGTGATTTGGTTGATTGAGAATGCATGGTTCATTTACGCAGCTGTCAATGGAATACTGGCAGGAAGTGCCTTGCGATGATACCAAGTGGGAGAGTCATGTAGAAGAGGAGCTGAAACCGGCCAAGACGATTGGATAAGTTTGTTTGGGGGCATGGTGATATACTAAGACTTTTTGCGTGTTGTTGCCTTGAAGGTCTCAGTCTGAGCTTCTGCACAGACCTGAAGGAGCATCACCATTCTCGCCAAACTCGTTGTACATGATCAGGTTCCAAGTATCACTTAGCTATGTTCCTGATCTGCGAGTACATCCGCATACTCAACCGCGTCAAAAGCTAAGCTTAGCAAGGACACCACTGTGAAGCAGCTACGCGACTCGCATAAAGGATCCTAAAGGGATTACGTCAAAAAGGTCCAGTAACTGAGGGGATTTATGGGTGCGATCTTTGAATCATTTTGAATAGAAACCACCAAGCAGGTGGAAGGTGGAACACACTTTTTTGAGCCCACCGTCCCATTGAATCCACCCAAGTCCGCCAAGATTCACATTTGCCTTACTGAAAGCAGCTTCGAAGCAGCTGTAAAGGTTGGCTTCCGGGCCCAGCTCCAAAGTAGCAGCTGCAAAGGCCAGGTTGGCCAGTTGATAATCTCTGAGATTTCTCCAGCTGCGACTTGCTATCAAATCCGCCAGGAAGCGATTGAACTCCAAATCCTCGATCTGAAATTGAGCGTAAGAACTGACAGCCTCCACTACCATATCTGATGGCATTTCCTGCCATGCATCGGCCGGCAACTCCCTAAAAACTCGTAAGACTTCAGTGTGAAGCACTCGCATCTTGGCAAAAGCTGCCAGTGCTTGCACCACATCTTTCACCATTTCCGGATCCGTTGGTTCCTTGACCATAGCCAAAGCGTTGCTAATCTCCTGCGCGCACTCCGCGGTTTTGGGGTCCAAGGTCACCTCGCTGGGTTTCCTCCTGGCACGACCTGCCAGGCTGGCGGCCAAACTGCCCGCTGCCAACACGGCTTGCTGCAGGGGCGACCGCGCCATGGTTGTTGCACGCCGGGCGGAAGGCGCCGCGCCACATGGCGTTGCCGAAGGCCTGGGGGGGGAGAAAAACTTCCAAGGTGTCAAACGCAGGCGCAGGGCCATTGGAAAGCGGCCACTTGTAAGGCCGGCCTGAGCCAAAAACGGAAGTAGGTTGTTCATTCATGTCTACACAACCATAAATCCGTATGTACATGATATATAATATAATATAATATAATATAATATAATGTAATATAATATAATATAATATAAGACAAGATAATATAATATAATATAATATACTATAATATAATATAAGACAAGATAATATAAGCATAGTGACTCGTCGGACAGTTCATACGCAAGTACAAAATAGATCAAAACAGTGCAAATATGTAGAATGTATGTAAACATATGCAAACATATGCAAAAATAACATTCAAACATATGGAAACAGTGAGCAATTCTTGGAGGTGACGGTCTTATCAAACCACCGAAATATAACCTTCAATTTGGAACAATTTTGCATATTGATGATGAGCACCTGAAGTCATCCACTCCAATCCATGGTTGCCACTTCGCACCAGTGCTGCAACAAAAGCCCCACCTTGCTTGATTTAGTTTCTGTCAGTGCCAAGTCTGCACACAACAACGAGCAAGCACTCAGTATTGTGGTGCATGGAAATGTGCAGTGGAAGGATCTGTTCCCCTACGTGTTGAATGGCAGGGCACCATGCTCCGATCTGCGGCCGAATTTTGCGTCTGCGGCTCGAGGTTTCGCGCAGGGGATTTTTCTGTCAAAGGGACTCCTCCGACGAAGGCATTCTGTTTGATTCACAGCTCTCCCTCAACAAACAGACCAGCCTCTTGTCCCAGCATCTCCCATCTACAGTAGCTGGTCTCTTTGTGTTGGATTGCTTGCGTTGGAGGCTATTTTTCTAAAGCCGTTGCAGTACTGTATCCTGCTTTGCCTTTGACATGGCATGTCTTGTGCATACAACTGGTGCAAGGAGGCAAATGAATGATAGAAAAAACAAAACACACACACACACTCATACCATCTGAAGGGCATATTTGACATGACGTCAGGCTCGTGTAGCCATTGTCGAGTTGAGAAACTGCTGAAAAACTAGGAATTCCTTGCAATATTCCAGGAGACCCTTTCTTTTCTCTGTTCAAATATTTTTGTACGTGAGATGGAGCAAAGCAACAGCATCAGGGAAACTGTTGGGAGGCTTTCTTTATTGCAATGAGAAGTATCGTCGAACGGTTCCAGGCAGTGCAAGCAATTGCACCAAAGTTGGTTTTGCCTGATGAAGCAGTACAGTATACTGACAATTACAAAGAAGTCGGAAAAGAATGGACAGTCGTTTCCAATGTTGCTGTTTACTCCGGACAAATGAGCCGCTGACAATGTTGCTTATATGGACATGTTCCCCCAATGCTGGAGCAGCTTGCACACCGGATCACCAAGTGGGTCGCTCAGTTTTTTTAGCTGCTCAATGCTGCTGGTTCTTTGAATCAATCAATGATGCTGACTGATTAGTAACATCTTGAACCGGCATTCCAGTTGCAACATACTCACATGTCGTGGATTGTCTGGGAATAGGTCTGATAGGGTTTTGAAATCTGTGGGTCCAAAGTCCAAACGCCTAAATTTTTGATCCACATACCAGCGAAGCATCCTATGGCCATGCTGATATGGGTTCAGTATGGTCCAGCACAGTCCAGCAATGAGCTTCACCAGTCTGTCAATCTAACGCATACTCCAGCTTGTGAAACTGTTGTTTCGAGAAGTCTATAGGTCAACAATCCCCCTTATATTGGCCTCATCACACCATCAAGTGAACTATGTCTGGTGCAGCACTGAGCGGTGAACTCAAATGATGTGAGCCCGGAGTGGGTGACTTTGTCTCCGACGAAGCTCGATGCAGCGCGGTAAATCCACTTTGCAGACTCATTATCACAACAGTTTGCAATGTCCCCAATGGTACAAAATGATACAAAGAGTCACTGGGGGACGGTTGATTATCAAAGTACCCCAGTGACCCAGTGGATAATTCAGATCGTTTTTGGACGTTCTTGTTTCTGGATATCCAAGGATCATTGTCCACAATCATCCCAAAAAAAACAGACAGTTTGTTTGATATTCTATATAAACTTTACAGAACCAAATTGAATACGGAACAAATAGCAATGCAACTAAAACAAGTAATGCAGAAAACATTCAATAATATCAAGAAGAAAAGGTTGTGAGTATAAACACACACACAAACTATCAAGAAACATCACAAAACATTGTAAAAAAAGGGGGACCCACAGCGCTACACTCTCAAAAAACCATACTACCCTCATCCCCCTTGCAATTCGGGTCCTGACCCTGGCCCCTGAATCTTTAAGGGACCACTGGTAGCCTCGTAAAGAATGCGAACCAGGGCAAATTTCAGCCTTAAAGAATCTAACCCCAATGAACCAAGATTGCACACAGTAGCCAGGTATGTCCCTTTAAAGGATTGGAGACCCAAGTTGCACACGAAGGGGTGCCCCTTTAAAGAATTGGATACCCAAGTTGCAGTCGAATGGACGACGGCGCAGTCAAGCATCATCAATAAGATGCGCATGCAATCATATGAGAACATATAGACTTTTTTATTTGTGTCCATATTAGGATTATTATAATTTATTAGGCATCTTTAGGTGAATTTTGAAAGCACATTTTTAACATTCTTCAACTCTGGAGGTGTTTTAACACAAATTCTTGCATTTACAATTCTCCTTGGAATTATCCTGCTCACATGGACTCCAGCATTCTTTAGACAAAAAACGGAGGTCCACCTTGCACTACTGAAATGGCACATCTAAAGAATGCCTACCTAGGATGCAAGGGGGTCTAAGACCATCTAAAAAATCATGGCCCAGGCAACCAACTACAACAAATAGAAAAAATACACAAAAAACAAATACAAAAGTAAACCTCTAAAAAATAGGGCGTCCATGTTAGCCATGTGAACATCAACAACAGTAAAAAAACACCAAACGTACCCAAATGATTCCTTTGCACACCGGAGATGAAATTTGCCCTTCTTTTGCCCATGCCAGATTAGCGGCTTCTGTTTTTGTCATGGCAGAAGCTTCTGCCAAAGCGTTGTCTTTGGCTGCCTCATCTTGTTTCATTTTTCTGGTTTGATCAAAATTGATTGTGTTTTTTCTGAGCTGGTGTTTTGATTCTTTAGAAGCTCAGGGCGTGTCGACCCTGCAAAACCTGGCAGTTTTTCACAGTTTGGGAAGGGTGCCATTAAAAAATAAGGTCCTACCTTCGGACACAGTGGGTTTCGTTGGATCTTCTAGAGACAATTGGTGTTATGCCTGGGGATCTTGAGGATTTCCTGGGGACGTCTGGATATGAGAACTGGACTGGGTTCGAGCTGGTGTTTTGATTCTTTAGAGGCTCAGGCCTGTCGACCCTGTGGGATATTTTGGGGAGGGTGCCACTAAAGAATCAGGTCCTGCCTCCCGACACAGGGAAGGGTGTCCTTAAAGAATCATGTCCTGCCAAAACACTGTTTTTTCTGAGCTGGTGTTTTGATTCTTTAGAGGCTCAGGGCGTGTCGACCCTGCAAAGCCTGGCAGTTTTTCACAGTTTGGGGTATTTTTTGGGAGGGTGCCATTAAAAAATAAGGTCCTACCTCCGGACACAGTGGGTTTCGTTGGATCTTCTAGAGACAATTGGTGTTATGCCTGGGGATCTTGAGGATTTCCTGGGGACGTCTGGATATGAGAACTGGACTGGGTTCGAGCTGGTGTTTTGATTCTTTAGAGGCTCAGGCCTGTCGACCCTGTGGGATATTTTGGGGAGGGTGCCACTAAAGAATCAGGTCCTGCCTCCCGACACAGGGAAGGGTGTCCTTAAAGAATCATGTCCTGCCAAAACACTGTTTTTTCTGAGCTGGCGTTTTGATTCTTTAGAGGCTCAGGGCGTGTCGACCCTGCAAAGCCTGGCAGTTTTTCACAGTTTGGGGTATTTTTTGGGAGGGTGCCATTAAAAAATAAGGTCCTACCTCCGGACACAGTGGGTTTCGTTGGATCTTCTAGAGACAATTGGTGTTATGCCTGGGGATCTTGGGGATTTCCTGGGGGCGTCTGGATATGAGAACTGGACTGGGTTCGAGCTGGTGTCTGATTCTTTAGAGCTATACCCTGCAAAATGATAAACATATTTATTTGTATAAATCAATATATGCAATTTGCTGCTTTTATCATATGTAATGTCAGTTTGGTTGCGTTTATTGAGCCATGTTTTGGCCAGCACTTTAAACATTGACAAACTCAACTTAGGGTTCCAAATTAAATCTCTGAAGAATCAAGGGGGAACTGATAACCCGGGTTGACTTATGTTTTAGCCAGGGAAAATTCCAAGAGGGATAACACCATATGATTTTCAAACACTCTGTTTTCAAACGCTCATAAATGTGCAATAGTCCGGCGTCCCTGAAGAATGTCCTTGTTGAAAAATCAGTTGAAATGTGTTGCCAATGTTGAAACTTGTTTGGCTCATCTGCGATACAAACGATGGCCGGCGCACAACAGCAGTTTTAGCAAATCGCAAAAATTCAAAGAGCTTGTCTATTGCCCCTCAAAATGCTCTCTCTAAAAAATCATGACCTAGGAAGCCTTTTCAAAAAATGGGGACTCCGGGTTAGCCATGTGGAAAAATCATCTGTTTTTGCATTTAAAAAACGTTTTTTGCAACAACCCGGGTTGTTGCCTTTTTTAGTGGAAATTCCAAGGGGATCCAAGGGGGATCATTTACATGCATTCACTCATCAGGTTTTCATCTTCCATCTCACCTTCACGTCTTCTGCTTGTGAGCATCTGTTCAAGCGGCAGGCAAGCTGGTTTTCATTTGACACACAATCCCAAAAACATTGATGAACATATCAAAAAACAAGTTCCTAGAATCTTCCTAGGAAGGCCTCTTAAAGAATAGGAGACCGTTAAACAACAGTATACATCTTAAAAAATGAAACTGTTTTTTTTTGCCGGCCAAACTGTCCCTTAAAAAATACAGTTTTTTAAAGACATCATGTCCTCAAGTCTTTAGGCTAAATTCCCAGGAGGATCTACCCTCTGGTAATTTCATATAACTCCAGAACAATCAGAACTTGACCATTCTTAATGGGTAAATAATCTATAAATGGGCCATCTACACGTGTGAATATACCGCAAAAAAGAGGACCGCAGTGCGCCGGGCCGAGGCCTTGCTTGGCATCCGGCAGCTTTTTCTCATGGGCAATAATACCCAAGGCCCCCAAGCGTACGGGTCACGGGTGTCATCGCCTCCTCTGAAATACCAGTATCACTGCCTGCCAGAAGGATCCAAAGGATGGGGGAAAAAACACACAAAGAATTTTTGAAAAACAAAACTATAGAAACCATGGAAAAACATGGTGTAACAACAACGTAAGACACCTCCAACACTGGGGATAGGGATAGGAAACCGCTTAGACATCGGTAATCGATGACCTGATGCAGAGACTGTCTCATGTTGCACCAACATGCACCAACCAAGGTTGGAGGACTGTCACATTTTTTTATAAAGACGAAATATGCAGAAAAGGAAAAAAAGACCAGGGTAAAAATAGCAATCGCGGATTTTCACAGAATCATATTTGAAAGAGCTTGCTGCGAACAGAAACTTTGGAGGAATCGAAGACATCCAAACTTCAAACCACGAATCAGCCACTTCTCCCACGACCGACGGTCGGAGTCATTACTGGCATCCGTACCCATAGAATTATTCAACAAAGCCTGTGGGTCCAAACCAACAGAAAAATATAGAAAAATGGGATGAGTGTTTCACCTCAAAAGAAATCAAGAAATAGCTAATCAAAACTTAGGATTTGTACCCACACCGGCCCATACCCATCTCATCCCCAGCCTATGCTGGAATCCACATCACTGTTGAAGTCTTCATCACTGAAATCTTCGTCGTCGTCCTCCTCCTCGTCCTCCTCCTCCTCATCCCTGAGGGCTACCGCGATCTCTGGGTGGGAAATTGATAGATGAAGATGAAGGGTCCAAAAACGTCAGCACTGTTGAAGATGATTCAGGAAAAGTCAGGTGATGTCTACTTCATTTACCAAGCATTTGGTTTAGGTCCGGTCGTTGGTAGGTAAACGGTATTCGGCACGCTATCCTTTCCTGGCTTCATCATGTTTGTTTTCATTCCCTGCAGAATCTTCCATCCTCTCTGGCGGTCTATGCCGTTGTAACACGTTACAACATATTACATAACCGCCATCTTGCACTTTGCTAGTACACCATAATACACCTTCAAAACAAGACATGGCCACGTTCGGAGGTTCCATGGTTGCTTTTCGGGTGTGGTATCAACCCAGGCTGAACTAGGCCCAGCACTTCCTCAGTTAAACAGGAGTCAACATGAATCCGGGCTTCACATTACCAACATTTGCCCCAAGAATGACCAAAGAGCATAGCTGAATTTATCAACATTTACTGACATATATTTGAAGACCCAACAATTGCCATTATTTACCAACATTTACCCCAACATCACTTAAAGTGTAAAAATGTGTTTGATAGATCATTTACCTATTTGCCAAAGAGTGATATTCCATAGCAAAATGTTAAATTACCAGAGGGCATACCATATATAAGATAATATGCTTAATTACCCTATAGTATGGAAAACATGGTAAATAACCTAGGGAATCATCATTGAGATTCACTAGATTTTCCAAATTTATGATGATATCCACGGAATAGTTGAATAATGTTGAATTAACATGAATTAACCATATGGATCATCCTGAAAAATCTAGCAGCCACTGCCCCACCGAGATCACACACTGAGCTTCCCACGCCGAGAGGTGCCCGGGCTGCCCGGGGTGCGGCAGTTTTCCCCGTGCATAGCGTTCGAAGCAGAACTGCCGGCAGTTCCAGGGAACGGCAGGCGGTGGATTTGTTCATTTTGAGGCCCTTATATTGAGGCTATAATTATATATTATAGGAGAATGGGATATAATGGGACTGTGGTAATTGATACCATCAAAATAGTCTGAAAATGTGTGAAACATAGTATAAGATAGTAAAAGATACTATAGATCAATGCAATATATCATCATTATGGTATGATTCCATTCCATTTAGTTCCAACTTCAACTCTCAGGGTCTCATGGGGCATGGTGCACCACATAACCTGCAATCATATAGCTATGATTCCAACATCAAAACCAGAACACATGATCAATGATACCCAGAAAACATGGCACACATGAGGATACAAACAATTCATGAACTACATCGACATCGTCCAAAGACGTGATGCTCATTCAAAATTGAAATTGATCATGAAACACTCACCTTTCTACGGAACAAGTCTTGGTGAATCGTGAAAGAGTGGTTCCTCAACTGCCCAGCACAGCCATCAAAAGTGTAGATGACAGCCCTCAAAAACCATGTCCCACCCAGGAGACCCAGCCCAGAAAAGCAACCATCGCCTGGCAAACGTCGTAGGCCACGGAATGCAAAACCGTGCGCCGGCCGTTCTCACAGGTCCAAACCTCTGAGTTGGGAGACACCTGCACGCCACGCGCCACGAAAGGATGAAGCTCACTATGGCCTATGGCTTGGGAACTGGTGTTGTCGGTTACAACATATTCCAACTGGTTGTATAGTTATGAATTACCGCTGTACTTCTGAGTTATATTTGGGATAGACAAACCCCAACACTTGTCATGAAAATGGCACAATAACCCAAGTGAACCCCAGTGACATGCTAGTGGTGAGGCTCTGATCTGGAAACCCTTAGTAGTCCTTAGTCGTGGCACTATATATAGTGAATGAGGGTTTCAACCCCTGGCCAAACACTGGTGATTTAATGGGGTCACCTGCCAACTTTGGTCTTGAACTTTAACACTCTTTAATACACATAATCCAAACATACATGTACCTTAAAGTTGGTGCAAACCTCCTGCATGGGAAACTTCCGCAATTGCTTTGAACTAGCACCCCAAAATCTCATGCGACGTCATGATGTCATGCCCTGATTGTCCAAGTTCTGTGTTGAAGCTTTGTAGGCAGAATTTGTTGGCAGGCAGCCGATGCCTCCGAAAGCTGATCAATCATTTACAGTACATGGAATATGCAATGACAATGACTCTCTCTGAGGTTCCAAGTAATTTGACCTACCCGAAATGATTGGAAGGATGCAAGGGCCAGAACATATTGAGTGTTGTGGGGTCTCAGCAATAAGTGATAGCAGGAAGGTGCAGGAAGTGAATTCAATCCTGTAAAGGGGCAAAAGTGAGATCAACCTTGGGTAATGACAAACCATTTCAATCCATTGGCTGCCTTTCATTGCCATCCTGGCTACACGGCTAGACAGAAGGCGCTGCACAAGGGTTGAAAGAAAAGACTTTAGACCATTCGAGACCAACATTGACTAATCGTGGCCACTCTGTTTTTCCACTGTTCTGTGCACTTCAGCGTTTTTCCGGCGAAGCAATGTTGGCCTTTAGCATGGGGTGATACTGACAATGTCACATCACAATGCCAGGGATTCGACGCTGCCATGGGATATCATGGGCCTTTCATCCGCGAAGCCACCCTCCAGCACGATGACAGACTGTTTGGGCAACTCTTTCGCCAGTTGTGTTGGCCACCTTGTTGCTTTGTTGGTTTTCTCCCCCTGCTGAAATTGGCAACAATCCATCCAGCCAGCATAGGAGCTCGATCGGGATTCGATGAGAATTTTGGCAGCAAGCAGGTCGTGGCATTCTTGTGCCAATATTCAATGGCAAAAGAATGCCACAACTTGTTTGTTCCCGAATTTCTCCATGTAGAGAGTTCCCTGAGCAGATCCATGGAGAGTTCCTGCAACAGTGCCACTTCCCCGATCTTCTCCATGGAGGTCGACCATCATACTTTGGTGATTCCTAGTATTGACGCACCCAGCTTCAGAATCCTTGGTCTGCACAAAGCCAAATCATTTGGTGGCAATAAAGCGCATCAAAACCATACTGTACCTCCCACAAAGTATATCGGCATGCGGGCCAAAGCGACTGGAACAACTGAACAACTTGACAAAAACTAGAAGAGGCTCTCGTCGTCTGGCTCTCATTTTGGCCCAAAATGCCTTGAAATCCCGAGGGTGCGTCCCCTCCACATCCTCCACCCTTCCTCTGTCGGGGGTGACTGATGCATGTTGAGAAACCTCCAATGTTTCGTTTCCACTCGTGGTATCTACTTATATAGGTTGGACAACCTAGGAGTTGCTACTAGAAACATGGTTTGCGAGATAAGAAGACATCCGGATTAATTAGTGATAATTTCTGGATGTATCGTATCCATCACATTCCATATATATAATATATATATATATAATATATATATACGTATATGAGATGATATCATGATATGAGTACATACAAGTACACAATACCCAATAGTGCTCTGCATTGTTCTGCCCTTTGTTCACCATGTGCTTTACTATCTTTATTGCAGACATCTCACCACTGCTCTTTGGAGGTTTACCAAGACCCAGAAAGGTCGCTCTGGACTCATCGCAGCTCTTCAGACCTGCCTGCTTGTTGCAAATGTCGCACATAATTGGCGGCCGCTCATAGAATTGATTCATTTCCTCGCGTAAACAGACTCCGACCATCCTCTCATCCCTGTTCTGGGACCCGCCACCTCTATATATTTTGGGTCAACAAATGTTAGTGATCGAATGTGCTCGAGTCCTATGAAGTCAATAATGTTAAAAGAAATCTTCCCAGCCGAAAACAATTGTGTCAAACTAGGCCAAGAGGGCGTGTCTGCAATAAACATTGAACATCACAATTTTACTCCCAAACAGAAACTATGTTGGTGATGCGTAAGATCTTCATTTTGCAGAAAAAGAACCATCCCACGGCTGAAGTTGTTGGTGAAACCACTCGAAGCGATTTCGAAGTTAATAAAACCAAGAAACAAATTCACTGACAGCCATTGGAGTCTCCTGCCAGGGTCCAACATATGGGAGCAGTGGAGGGATGTCGCAACTCGCTTGTTTTGCTGTGAGGGAGAACAGAGGTAAATTGTATGTTGAGGTGTCTACAATGGCAATAACAATCTGTTGTAGAGATTCACTCAGAGTACCAAATCATGGTGTGGCGCGAACATTGCGAAGAATTGTGACTCCGCCACGAAAAAAGGAAACATGTTTCGAACAACAGTTTGAACAACACAGTAACTTTCGAACTGTTTTTTGGTCACATTGTACTGCACCAAACGTATTATCGTACTGCAAACACATCGCATATTTGAAGTACGAACCGTAGCCGATACCATCCGCATGTATTGAAGTCTTTTCCTATATACAGTAAATCATGTCATATTGATGGTAAACAAAATCTCAAAGCTCCCCCAAATGTGGGTTAAACATGGTTAAACATGGTTAAACATTCCATTCCCTGGGAGTAAAACGGGTCCCAGTTGGATCTCCAACTCCTCCTGTACAAAGTTCTCAACGCGTTGCCGCACCGGGGTACAGTTCAACCGGCTGCCACAAACACACAGCAAGTGCTCCTGTATCCGCTGGGGCCGTCCAGCCCGCGGCCAGGGTCCAGGGTCGAGGGCACGGTCGTGTTTGGATTCAACAAACTGAACATGGCCGAACTGTCCGTGGATGATTTCACCGCGTATCAAAGCTTGTTCTCTCGCAATTGTTATCTGTCCAACTGGGGAAAACATGTTTAATGTTCCATACAAAGTCGAACAAGCACCCGATTCCGCACAAAACACAACCAATGAAGGGCTATTGTTGCAAAAAACATATATATACATACATCGACCCAATGTGGTAAGCGTTCAACCTCTTCTCTCATCAGCACATTGCCAAACCCTTAAATCCAGTCCTGCTCGGCGTTGGATCCCTGACCAAACATGTGCTTGGAATCAGAACAAAATCATACAACATCAATAAACCATAATTAGGCAATAATACAAGTCACATATACTACAGTATATTTACAGTATATATATATATATATTTGTCAGTTTATTACATGATAATATAACACATAAACAAACGCCAAACCATACATAACTTGATAGAACAAGCATGAAATCATGAAATACAAACAATCAACACACCGGACACTAGATAGAACATCCGAATATACTGTAGACATCTGTAGACCATAAGCACATATAAAAATTACTTTGCTTCGAGTGATCTCCACCATGACATTTATACAGTTTCTTACTGGCAAACCTTCTGGCATTCTATCTGACATATCTTCTGACATTCTATTTGGCATTCTATCTGGCATATCTTCTGGCATATGATCTGGCATATCTTCTGGCATTCTATCTGGCCGATCTTCTGGCATTCTATCTGGCATATCTTCTGGCACTCTATCTGACATATCTTCTGGCATTCAATCTGGCATTCTATCTGACATATCTTCTGGCATTCAATCTGGCATATCTTCTGGCATATATTCTGACATATCTTCTGGCATTCTATCTGACATATCTTCTGGCATATATTCTGACATATCTTCTGGCATATCTTCTGGCATATCTTCTGGCATATCTATCTGGTATATCTTCTGGCATATTTTCTGGCATTCTATCTGGCAAATCTTCTGGCATTCTATCTGGCATATCTTCTGGCATATAATTTGGCATTCTATCTGGCATATCTTCTGGCATATATTCTGACATATCTTCTGGCATTCTATCTGGCATTCTATTTGGCATATCTTCTGACATTCTTTCTAACTTTCTTCTGCACATTCTTTGTCCCATATCTTCCTACGACATGAGGTCCGGCAGGGAACACTTGGCATGGATCCTCGCGGTTGAGGTCCGGCAGGGAACACTGGGCGTGGATGGTCGTGGTTGAGGTCCGGCAGGGAACACTGGGCCCGGATACTCGCGGTTGAGGTCCGGCAGGGAACACTGGGCGTGGATGGTCGTGGTTGAGGTCCGGCAGGGAACACTGGGCGTGGGTGGTCGTGGTTGAGGTCCGGCAGAGAACACTGTGGATCGCGGGTCGCAGTTGAGCAAGGACGACAAGGACGACGAGGACGACGAGGACGACAAGGACGACAAGGATGACAAGGAGGACGAGGAGGAGGAGGAGAGGAGGACGAGGCAGGAGGAGGCGGAGGAGGAGGAGGAGAAGGAGGAGGAGGAGGAGGCAACTGACATAAAATCTAACAACCCTCACCTGGCAGGTGGGGAATAATGAACAATAAGATACAATAAGTGTCTGAACTGCTAGTTTCCCTTCACCACACACCTATCACTGCCGCGCCTGGCCACCAGCGGTCCTTTGACCGAACTCTTTAAGCAGTTGGATCTGTGCTGGTCGCGCCTCATGGGAGAAGTTGAACCGTGCCGCGGTCGCTCGCTTCAAACGAACGATGCGAATGATACGGGTTGGAAAGGTCACAAATCATCATCTATGACATCCTGGCAAATCATTCCTTTTTTTGGGGACTGCAACTTTACATGCGCTCCTTCACTTAGGTGATTCTTGATGGTAAATGTAGTTGTAGCAATTGGATGCAATGTGTTTAAGCATGTTTAAACACACCCACTAAACATAGGGCTGGATGAAATGCATGATGGTCTGCTGTTGTCTAGGAGTCTAGCTTCAGATTTGTGCCCAGTAAGACCATTCCCGATATCCCCTGACCTGCTTGTAGAGACGCTTTCTCCAATTCTCCTCAGTCGCGGCCAACCCTTGTAATTGCCATGATTTTGGAGTCTTGGACCCCAACTTGCAGGGGCAAGAATCAGATAAACAGGGCATACAAATCAACCTGAAACGATCCCCTGGCACCATCCTTGGGATCTTCATGTGAGGCTAAAATGCTGCTGGTGGCTAGTGCAAGAGTCGTCCGTCAATGGGGAAACATATTCACGTCGCTTCGCGACGGCAACCGCCCGCACCGCATCGTAAGAAAACTGCCAATGATGTCGGCCATTGAGACCAAAAACATCCGAAAGTACTGATTGTCGGGAAAAAAAACGCGAAGAATTTGATAGCCATGTATAGCGGACCAACGCAGTTCAAAAAATAACGAGAAACATGAAAAAACGGCGAAATTGCTGTTATTTACAGTGTTTTTGCGCGGTGAGAAGCAGAAACCACTGCAAATACCATGGTTTTTGAGGGTCAGGTGGCCAAAACACTGTAATTTACAGTGTTTTTTTAACCAACGTCAAAAAACACTGGTATTTACGATGTTTTCATTCACACCGTAACATAAAACAGCGTAATTTACGAGGTTTTTGGAAGTTTTGAAGCTAGCCGTCAAGCATGCAGAAAACAGAAAAACACTGTAAAAACCAGTGTTTCTGCTATCACAAAACGACGAAAATCAGTCCGAAAACGGGTCCAAAAACTCAAAAATCCGCCTCCGGGCCAGGCCACCTGCGGAACCGCAAAAAACGATGTTGCAAACCAAAAAATTGAGGTCAACAAGTTGAAAAACACGTTTTTTTTTCACTTTTCGCTTGCCGATTTTGGACGGGCGCGTTCACGAACAGGTGTCTTCCGTACTGTTTTTTACAGTGTTTTTTGAAGGCGAGCATCACGACCTATCAAAAACAGGAGGTTTTGGCCGAAAAATGCCTCCCCCCCCAAGTAAACCTGTAACCTTTTACGAGTGCCATCCGGACGATCACGCCCCAGCACCTTCGGTGCGGGCGGATTTGGTTAAACAGTGGCAACTTGGATACATCCTAAAAACAACAAGCATTGGGTTGTAACCAAGTTTAACATTGGATCCCCACTCATGGCCGCCTTCATCCATTTGCAAGGGAAACATCTCTTTCCAAGCCCATTCTTCTTAAAAGTCTTTCGTGTCTGCTGCACTAAAAGCAGAACATGATTCTACAAGAAGCGAAATTGGGTATGTGGCATCAAAGAAAATGGACAGGAAACTTCTGCCAAAGCTTCCACCACCCTAAAAATTGATGATGCGTCTCCTGGGAACCTCCGAAATCACAAAGACAAGAATCACACATAGACAAATACCATGTCTGAATGGTGTTATAAACAGGCTTGTCATATCAATACAAGTGCTTTTCTCACCAGTGTTGGATTTACATGGATTTACCATACGTTTGATCCCACCTTTTTTCAGATAATCTCGTCAAAAATTCCCCCCTCCAACCACATCAAGGTCACCTCATCCCTAAGATTCCGCGCTGCTTTGGAGTTTGAACTGCCTTCAGAAGTGGGGATCGGTTTTCTTGCCATACCAAGTGAATTGGCGATGTTACTGCTGGAACCATTTTTTTGTTGCAGCAACCGTCCCATTTTAAGGGGCATTCTGCTTGGACCTGTACCCATATGTTTTGCTGCTAAATTGTTGCTACTAACTAGTAACCAACATGAGTGGTTCCTAGGGCCTTCAATTTACCAAGCACTGGGAACACTGGACAGTCGGGATGCCAGCGTTTGCCTCTGGTTGACCTTTGGGCAAACCATGTTGCCAACACATCGCTGGTTACCATCCCAGCTAGTAAGGTTTGTATTAGTTTGGATCCATGCAAGCAGTCCAAGATAGTTAGTCCATTCATCAGTCACTACCGCCTCCTTGAGATCTCGAAAAGGTAAGTTGTCTGGAGTTTGGATCGAAATCCACCTGCCATGGGGCTGGATCACCTGCTGGATCTGCTGCAAAAATCACCCGCGAGTTTCCCTCACAAGTCAGTGTACAATACATCAACAAAATTCAACAAGTATATCTCCATGATTCTCGATGTACATGCATCTCAAGCATGATGTAGATCCACATATTTGATCCACATTTGGATTCCATCCTTTTTTTCGGATTCTTTGGGAGCGGAGGATCTTGCCCATCCTGGGACCACTGGAACGAGCATCCCAGAACTCGTAAGTAGTTCAGGGGCCTGGTGATCGAAAGTCTCAGATTTCTGGGGTTATCCTATGCAAAACTGGGAAAACCAAGCCTGGTTATCAGTTATCATAATCATTTACCAGCCATTCTCTTGGTCACATGGCCATCTTGTTTATGTTTCACCCAACAAAAAATGTCGAAGCGCCAGGTAACTTCCAGCCTGCATGGAGACTCTGCAAGATGGACAAAGCGCAAGGCCTCTTCCCCCATGGATGACTGGGACCTGTACCATACATTGATAGTTGGCTGTTGATAATCCCAATGATTTCTAGGTCCTTCTTGTTGGCTGGTGCTATCCATTTTTGATCTGGGTCAAGTGAGTGGTTAGCCGCTTAGCCCCCAAACTGGAATGGTTTAGTATCAAGAATAATGACTCAAATCTGTGTTTCCTTCAGCCTCAAGTGCGGAGCCATACCACTCCCGTGTTCAAAATCCATCCAAACGGTAGTTGTATGTTGATGGGAGTGGGCCCCATCATTGGGGGTCTGCAAGTCTGCATTCAAAAGGAGGTAAACATGCCATTAGGTTCATAATATTCATATAGGATGATGGACTTAGGGGCGTATGGACATATCTGTCAATTGTATATGTTATATACAGTGGGTTTACGGTTGGGTTCCTGCACCTGATATGGCACAAAGAGATCTCAAAGTGTATATATATATATCTTTGCACAAACCCTACTTGTGACACAGAAGATTGACGCAACCAACCCACCTGGATATGGGCAACCTTCAGATCCTCTAAGCTATATCCCCAGACTTGAAGCAGCGACGCTCTTCCACACAGACTACATGACTTTGGTGGCATCCTATGAAATTTCATCGTGTCCTTTTTGAATTCCTGAGTTGCAAAATGTGGGAAAGGTCCAGGTTCACTTCGCTATCTTGGCTTCCGCACCACAGGAAGACATGCTGGCTGCAAGCGATCTGTCCCAACCTCCATCGCTTCACAGGGAAAAACCGCTGGATCGGGAAACTTGGGGAAGTCTGTTACTGAGCACGTGACATTGGTGGCAATAAGGCACCTTGCAGTCGCATGGCAGAGCAACCTCAAGAGACATTGACGTGGAGGCAGCCATCAACAAACATGACAACTTGTTTGCACATTCCAGGAGATGTCTGCAGCAAAGGTCATTGCCGATTACCAGTCTGCAGGCCCCAAAATGAAAGAGGATCGCCTTTCCTGGATGTATGGCAAATTCTCCGCCTCAAAATCTCAAAACGTTCTGGGTTTCATATGATGTTCTTCGTGAAAACCCACGGATATGGGTTTGCCTGGGGTACAGTACCTTAGAAAAAATATGGATTTTCAATTATCACTTATCTCCATCATTCCCATTGAAACTGGCATTTTGTTACACCCCGTTTTCAGACAGACCCATATTCTTCTCAACCGTGGGTACTACTCAGCACAACATCGTCTGGGCTTGGGATTACAAGTTTTGCTGAGGTGGCTGCTGCACCACCCCTGGCGTTGATGTTGCTGGGATTGTGTCCAAGCCCCACAGATCCCCACAGAATCTCACGACATACTAGGACATACCCGTGAATATGGTAATTACAATATACATATTATATATATATATAATTATATATATATATACCTTGAGAACCAAAACCCGCAGAAATCTTAGGGTTTGAAAAATACCTGAGGTTTTCTGACAAAACCCGGGGTATTTTAACCCATTCTGAAAGTACGGGTTATGTACGGGTTAGGTACGGGTTAGTACGGGTTAGGTACGGGTTGGGTACGGGTTAAGTACGGGTTCAAAATCAATACCCGAGGTCTTCAATCGAAAACCGAGGTTTTCTTATTTTTTCCGAAATACCTCAGGTTCTTGCGTTGACCCGAAGAATTCTTAGGGTTTTGGTTCTCCAGGTATACATCAATATACGCATTTGATTCTGTTGAGGTTCACTTGTAGATTCTTGCGAATGCTCTTCCTAGCACGCTACGTTACATGCCCTCAAGTTCCTGCGCACTCAATGCAACATCCTATGCATTTCAATTGCAGGAAGCAGTATGGATGCACCGAGCCAAAATGTGGCCATACTCAAGGCCCTGAAACGTTTGACTAGCCAGCTTGAAAGATCTGCCCAGTATGAGTCAGAAAGTCCTGGGACCGCCACTTTTCGTCACCTTTAGCATTCAACAACCCCATATTAATACACAATTCTGTTTTGTGATCTATGCGTGATATTATCTTTATCTATAATATTTAAATCATATATATATATATGAGAATCTACTCTGCCGTGCTATCCATGTACTTCTACGTCCGGTTCCCTTCATGCACAGCAGGTTTTGTGCCGGACCTGCACGCTGTTACTGTCGAGCTGCTGAGCCGTCTTGGACGGGCTCGAAGGACCGCCAATTAGTGATGGCACTGTGATCGATAAAAAATTGACAACTGATCGATTCTCTGCTTGTTGCATTGTGCAGAAGAACTGGCACAGGTTCAACCAAAGAGTCAACTCTACTAAAATATACTGACGGCTAGGCTTGGAAAGATTGAATACTCAAAATTAGATGAACTGTTTTAAAGATGATACTCCATTTCGGGTCCATGTGATACACCTGAATGTTGGAGCATGTTGGAGCCATATCTGATCCAAAGGTTGAAGTCTCTTCAAAAGAAAACACCACCTCATGACCTGCACTGATTCGCGAACGCAGCAACGCACATGTGCTGAAAAACCCATCCAAAACAGCCCAGTGCACAAGGTGCCCATACCACCGTTAACGAGGCAAGATATGCAGATTGAAGAGTCTTCGAGAAAGGATGATTGCCCAGTACCTTCCCGAAGTCGCACTTGCAAATATACCTGGTGGCGGAAACATCGGAAACCGGCAGAACAAATGTAAAGAATGTAGCTCTGTCCAAATGGGGACCGTATGAGATACCCGCTGCATTCATCCATTCTCTAGATGTTGGGAATCGGGTGTGGCCCCCAGATTCTTCTTCACATGCTGGGGACGAAGAAACAACTACAAAATGACATGAGAACATGATACCAAACGTACTAAAAAATCATACCCAGTTGCGAAATGATCATCAAAGAAAGAATGTCAAAAGAAGCATCACAGCACGTGACCGCCAGCAGGTACAAGACACTGGCTCCGCCCTTTGGATAGAGAAATTTCCAGAGCATATCGGGCATAACCAAGGCCAGCGGGCTTACCATGAGCAAGCTGATCAAGGCTGCAGTCAGGCCCCAACCCAAAATTATAGCTTCAATTCCTCTGCAGGGGTTGGGTATGTCCAGGATGAGACTAAAACCATGTAAGAAGGGGGTAAGGTGGTTGCCGGTTTCAATCCCTCCGACAAATACTAATCAATTTGATCAGCAGCCCCAATGGGTTTGAACATCGCCAGCCAGAAATCCATGGATCGAACAAGCATGGGACTTTTCATCTTACCCTTGCCTCTATATCTGATCTCTTCGCTATTGTAGTTGAGCCACGGGATGCGTTGCATCAAATATTGTATCCTTTTAGTTCTCAGCGTTCTCCAGAAACTGTTGCAAAAGTCGTAACCAATCCAAATTATGACCTCGCAGTTGAAATCAGCTGATACTTAAGGCTAAGATATCTTTGTATTTTTGTCATACACAGAAGCAAAAACATGAGCCAAGCCAAAAATAAATAGTTGGGGTTCACATGGTCAAACCTTCAAAGAAAATGATTTGGTACTGGGTGTTGAATAGTGCTGTCCCGCATGTAACATGTTTTTGGTTACTGTCATAAAGATTGAACACTAAAACATGAAAAAACACCATCAGCAAATCAACAAGCAGAAAATGTCAGGACCCCAATTTTCTTGAATTTTCGTTCGTGTTGTGAAACAAGCCGAGTGACACTGAGCCAATCCTGACATAGGACCACAGACATGGCAGTGTGTAGGCCCAAATTGACAGCCATTGGAAACAAACCGAAAAACCTCGGCCATCAAAAATGAAAGCTCGGGCATCGCAATGGATAGGGTCCTACATCCACAACTGGGGGGAATTGCTGAAATTCAAGGTGGCTCAATAGCACACAGCACCCATGATGGAGACGTGGGCAAGAGGGGATGCTGGGGTATAGTTGTTGTGATTTGATGTGATGTATTGATTGTTCCAATATGATTCAACATGATCTTGGCCCACTGAGCCTTTTGGACCTCTTTAAGTCACTCGACCCCTTTAAGATCCTGCCTCCATACTGAAAGTTGCTGTGAAAAATGCCAGGGAACCGGAAAGTGCTCGACAAATTTCCTGCTGCCATCTTGAACACCTGGGGCTTGCTTAATGAGGTTTCTGAATCTTTCAGGAGAAGCAAGCCATGGGAAAATCCTTTGGGAACTGACCGGGACACTGAGTGTGGCTCAAAGTGCCTGAGAGTCAACCACCCAGTCACAAAGGCCCCTAGCAACCCTAGCATGCCCCAGCCATCCTTTTGGGCCATCCAACCTCAAAGCAGCCGATCTTCAGCATGGTTGAGATGAGGGGTCGCAGCCATGCCGCAGTGCTTGGATTCAGATTGGGCAGAACCACCGCGAAGTCCAAGGCGATGTAGTTCACGGGAAGCACTGCAGCTGCAAAGCAAACCATCAATTGCGACAAATCCTGGCGGGAAACCACACCATTGACCAAGACTGAAAACATGTATTTGGCAAAGATCCCCAAAGTCTATGCCCCTTTTGCATACGGTCGGGTACGTTCTAAACACTAACCCCGAATGGATCCGCATTATGATTCGGGGTGGTTTCTATATAGATGTTTATAGTCTCATATGGTTTGGTAAAGGCTTACTTACCACTAGACAATTCTTTCATCCCCAAAGTACATGCTATTTCAGTGGGGAAATGGTCGACACCTACTGTAAGTTGCGTTTGTTTGGAGACACTGACTGAAAGGGATGCTGGGAGTGGACTCCCGGGTTTCCCTCCGAAATAATTCAGAGTCAAATCATAAATCACTTTCTTCGCTCGCTCATTGGCCTAGGATCTTTCAAGAAATGGTTCCCACCGGCTCTGATGTAGTGCCACTGGGAAAGGCCCAAATCTGGCCATGACTCATCCCCTCTACAGCACCGTATGCCAGCAATCATGGAAGGCAGAAAAAACACGCAGGTGATGGTAGGCCAGAAGCACGTCGAGAAAAATACCTGTGCTAAACATGACCGGTTGTTCTCGTTTTACCATCCGCACAAAAATTCTGTGGGCAAATGCATTACAGAACCCTCCCGCAAAAAGAGCTATTCGATGCCTTTCTGGTAAATGTTTGAACCCCAAATTTAGATGGCTGCCATCCAATGTCCAATGTCTCCAAGCAACTGCTGCAGTTGCTAGAATTGGTCTGTGAAACATACCAGATCATACCAGCAGGGGTTTGGGTTAAAATTGCAAGATCTTCAGCCTTCAGAACTTTCGGACCCCAGATTTGGCAATTTTTTAATACGTGCCGTGTGGATGAGGGGCCGGGGTGTCTTGTTGCAGTGCAAAACAAGCTGGCTGAAGGCACTAGCATTTACCGGATTTTGTGAGCATTGAGCAAAGACAAAAACACACGGTCCCTGACAGGCATGGTACCTTTTTAGCATGAATCATCCATTTTGGTCACCCAAATCAATCTTGACCCATACCTATACCATGATGAATCACAATATACATATTATTCATCTTCCCCAATGTGCATAATTTCTGCCTTTTGAGGGAATTCTGCCTTTACCCGACCACGGCGACTTTTGCGAGTTCCAGTAAATAAGGCCACCTTTTTGATGGTGGCAGAAATATCTCAATGTTCTCTAGGCTAAACATGCCAATCCAAAGATAAGGCATTTTGTCATCAAATTCCCTCAGATCTATGGGTGAAACTGGGTTTACTTGCTTGAAAAACATCGCCAAACTGCAAAGCAACCGTTTGACAACAACACAACACAGGGCAGTAGCACAGCCCACACTTTCTTAGCTGGAATGTATGTCCTTAGTTCCCTATATCTTTGATTTTGGGCTGTGGCCAATGCAGGGCATTAGGCCCAGGCATCTCCCGCAAGAATGGGAAAACTAGTTGGAATGCAACAAGCCGGTGTGTGACAGCTGAGGATAGGAACATGAAATAGTTTGGGTAAAACAACACACTCCACTGGGATAGCTGGGCTAAACCAAGAAATGCATTGGGATAATTGGTACAAGCAAAAGAAACTGTTGGGATAGTTATTGGTTAAACTTAAACCAAGGTGGGATAGTTTGGCAAACCAAGAAATATATGGAAACGTATTCAGGTAATTTGGGTAAATTAAAACATGTCTAGTGGAGTAATTTGGTTAGGGCAGTTTCGATTGCATGATTTCCCGACAGGCAATTCTGAAGACAAAAAGCGATTCTGAAAAAATCAAGCAGAAATTTCTGCCTTTTAGGTAAAAGAGCAAAAAAACGCATACCTGGAAGATCCAGGTATATATAATAAATATATATATATAAAGGACAAGACGCTTTAAAATGACTGTCCGTCCCAACAACGTAGGGGAATGCGACGTTAGCAATGATGAATGGCAGCAAACCGAGGACCAAAAAGTAGCGGTGGATCTGCCAGTCCCGCATCATCTGAGGATTGCACAAACCTGGGAAGAAACCCCCGAGGAAAAGCGGACTGAATGCCCACGCCAATCGGTTCATGAAGCCCGTCCAGAATGTCGCTTGCATGTGTCCGGGAACTGGCCATAGCCCGCTGAGAGCCAGTGAAATTGCAAAGAAGACAGCAACGACGATCGAAGATGACACCATAGTGAGGACAGTTCTAGCGATGCGGTAGGGCGACAGTCCGGTGACGTATGTTCCTTCTGCGCCTTCGATAAGGCCTCCGAAGAACTGTGAGAAGTCACCTGCGTCCTGGGCAGCGTAGAGTCGCAGGGTGTTTCCATCCCAGCGGCTTGTTGCAATCTGTAGGGTCTGTAGAGAGTAAAATGGTGACTATGTGAGATGGATTGGGGAACTCTATATACCTCTATATAGATATTTATGGTAAGCGGTTGTCTTGAATCAACCCCAACAGTTCAAACTGAAACTGTTGCAAGGTTTGTCACTGGCTCTGCCTCCCACAACGGTCTTCTGTGGTACGTTGAAAGGGATCAAATCAACCTTGAGGTTACTAAAAACTGTGTCCGCCTTTGGCCATCTCCCCCAACCGCGGTGCCTGCGCAAGTTCCGACCAATTGCTGCGCTTAAATTCGATGTTGACCAGACTCATTGCGGTTGTCCTGGCCGTAAGTGAACCTAAAGGCTTATCTCCGTTGTTCAACCGGGTTTGTCTGAAAAAAAAATGGTGCCTCTAAATTTGTTGGTTCATCATTTTCTCCATTAAATTGGCCACAACCTGGCTGTATACCCCATTTTCAAACAAACCCATTATAACTTTATCATGATCATTATTCATGAGATCCCCAGTATTCCCCAGTGTACCTCCATTCAACCCTATCATCAAATATTAAACAACATCTATCAATATGTCCTCGCGTTTATTGGCTAAATTCCCGTGAGCAATCCCCATGTTTCACCCATCCCCACTTGAGTCGCGAAGTGGATCGATGCCACGCGCTCTGTGTCGGCGGATCCCGGCGTGCTTCGGTCGCGGTCTCCGGGACCAGAAACCTCACGACGGCGCTGGGGACGGCGCCATCGGCGTCGTTCACCTCGGGCACCTTCACTTGGATCACATTCATCAGATCCACGCCCATATTCACCTGGAAAAACATGAGGGAAATGCCCATGAGTCACGAAACATGTTAAGGCTTTTAAATATGATCACGATATGGATTTTATATAATTTCATTTTTTTTCATGCTGCGCTTTATGACTTGTAAGAATAGTTGTGACTTAAATGTCCGTCCCAACCAACATGGAGCTGAATTCACTACCCAAGCGCTGACACCACAATTGGATCTTCATCATCATCTGAAAGTGGAAACTCGGCAGGCAGATCCTTTTCTGCCATTGCCCAGCGGCCGCTTGTGGGCAATGATCTGGGACGCACTGAACCCAAAGGTTTCGACGGGCGGCGAGTGCAGTGAACAAGTTTTGGCCAACATGTGAACCATTGATGCTAGATCATTGCTGTGTGCAGTAGAGAGAAGCACGTGTCTGGCCAGTGCATGGAGCCTAAAGTCAGTTTTTTCCCTACCTATCAGGTGAGGGTTTTTAGGTTTTATGTCAGCTGGACTGCCTCCTCCTCTGAACAGCAACCTCTGGATCAAAGTGATCCCCGCCGGACCTCAACTGCGAGCTCTGGATCAGAGTGTTCCCCGCCGGACCTCCACCGCAAGCTCAGGATCAGAGCGTTCCCCGCCGGACCTCCACCGCAAGCTCAGGATCAGAGCGTTCCCCGGCGGACCTCCGCCGCAAGCTGCGGATCAAAGTGTTCCCCGACGGACCCCAACCGCGAGCTCCGGATCAGAGTGTTCCCCGCGGGACCTCAACCACAAAGAATCTCCGAAGATATACCAGATAGAATGCCAGAAAAGAATGTCAGAATAGATGCCAGATAGACTGCCTGATAGAACGTCAGATAATGCCAGATAGCATGCCAGATAGCATGCCAGAACGTATGGCAGAAAAAATGCCAGATAGAATGCCAGAGAAAATGTCAGTATAGATGCCACAAAGAATGCCAGATAGGATGTCAGAATAGATGCCAGAAAAATGCCATAATAGAATGTCAGATAGAATGCCAAATAGAATGTCAGAAGATTAAACAATATATATATATATGTATATATATATGTATATATACGTCCAGATGATATGTCAGAAACTATGACAAATAAGTGTCAGGGTGGGGGTCACTCGAAGTAAAGTATTGTATTTGTTGGCGTTTTTTCTCTCATTATTGTTGCAACAGCCCTTTGAAGTATGGACGTCCATCCAATATGATGGCAAACAATCACTATTACAAGGCTCATACACCATTATGAAATCTTGAATTATCTTGACCCGACTCCACCCAGTGATGTTATAAATATATATAAATATAACATACAGTAATATTTCAAATGTTTCTGCACTTGCTCATGCAGTTAGTTATAAGCCAAGCCCGGAAAGCGGCCAGCGGAAAGCTAGTGCCTGGACTCCAGAGTCTCGAAACAAATGATGCACTCTTCTTTGGAGCTTCCTGGCGTCACGTGTTCAACTGGGAGAAAGGCCGCTGCAATGGGCGCAAGAAGTTGTGAGGGCATCGTCTGGTGGGCTTTTCATCCAGTAAACACAACATAAGAAATCTATTGAATATGTGTTTGTTGAAAATCTTTGAATGTGTTGAATATGCTGTTGAACCACAAGCCTCACTAAGGTCACAAACAAATGCAAACAACACGCATGGTCCATGCGTTCCATGCGTTCCATGCGTTCCATGTAGAAGTGGCAGCCCTCTGGTTCAATCTGCCAGTCCCTTCCAGTCCCTTCCAGTCCCTTCCAGTCCCTTCCAGTCCCTTCCAGTCCCTTCCAGTCCTGACCCCTTCTGCATCATGGATTGAAACATCTCGAGATGATAAAAGACCGCGGTGTTTCCACCGCGGTCGCTTTCTTCCTTGTGAGATGTTGTTGTCAGAGCTTGGCTGTCATGGATCTCAAGGTCTAGACTAGAGTGAGTGGGGCATCTCAGTCTCTGGGTACTCTTAGGTCGCTGTTCCCGTTGCGACTGATATCGTTTGATATTGACCGATGGAGCTGGTGTGAGCTAAGGAAGTTGACTATTTTTGATCATATCGTTTCTTGACCTGTTTCCGCAACCCCTCAGTCTGGCTTGATCTTGCGGCCGCACGCGGAGATTGGATCAACGGTGTGAATCTCAAGACAAATAGTAGCATTCTTCATTCATCTATGAATGGGAAGGCAGTTGGCATTGTCTTTGTACCTTGGTTATGAACATCCTGCAAATGGGGTTCCTAGCAGCCTAGCAAATATCAATGTGTATAGTGGTATATACTTGTATGTTAGTATATTGTATAGTATCATATCATGGTCGTAGCTAAAACAAAGAGCTGGTAGACTTGCAGGATTATGCAGCTCAACACGACGTCTTCCTCGTTTTGAAGGTCAAAAACGCAACTTATCTCAACATGCCAAGCATGACAGGCCAATCCCTACTAAATCCTACACGGATATAGGTATATAGTCATATAAAAATACAAATAAATACATATATACACACACATACATATATATATAATTATATTTACACACTTCAACTATACCTCGTTTTTCTATGTCTAGACCTAGATTTGTAAGGTCGTCCTAGGTTCGTATGTCACTACAATGTATACGCTTGTATACAGTGTATGCTCCTAGTATCATTCAATTGAAACCTGCTTGGTTGACACAAGCATGGACTCAAACCCAGATGTCAACCACAAGCATCTAAGCATGCGAGATTGATTGGATACCGACATGGGCATTTCAAGATTCAGCATGCCAGATTCATGCCCGCGGTAAACCGGGCAATTGTTTTGAAGAACGTATTTTGTTGACAGAAAACACAAGAACCCCATGACCGTGGAGAGACCGCGGACAAACCATGGAAAGACTTAGAATTGGCGTGGAAAAACCTACAAAATGTCGTGTAAAGAACCAGATTTATCGCGGACACTCCCCCGCAAAAAATCTTTGTCAGCGCTTCACACCCTGCCATTTATTTGTGTCACGTGAGAGTTGGAGGCGCAAAAGGATAACATGAGTTTCGTTTACTTTTGCTCAAGCGCAAGTGCCATCAACGCAAGCTGATGGGGAAAACATGGGAAAACACAAGCTTGAGCACACAGTCTAGCCTTGTTTCGTGTTTGGTAGTGGCTTTAAGCGTATCAAAATTTGAAAAACATGTATCAGTATGACCCACTTCCTCTGTAACAATTTTGGGTCTCTCAAAAAAACTGGGTACGCATCTAAAGAGTCAGAGCTTGATTTTCTAGGTCTTTGGATGCTAAGGATATAATATATACATGTACTCATGTGGGATGCTCCGTCCCCCTTGCCCATCTCGTCCCATTTTCATTTGCTGCTCTGGTTTGGATCTACAGGGCTTCAATAATCACCTACAGGCGCGGGAGCGTTGCATATGGCAAGGCATCCGGGACCGCCAATTTTCGTCACCTTTAGCATTCAACAGCCCCATGTTAATACACAATTCTGTTTTGTGATCTATGCGTGATATTATCTTTATCTATAATATTTAAATCCGATATATATGTATATATATATATATGAGAATCTACTCTGCCGTGCTATCCACGCACTTCTATGTCCAGTTCCCTTCATGCACAGCAGGTTTTGTGCCGGACCTGCGCGCTGTTGAGCTGCCGAGCCGTCTTCGACGGGCTCGAAGGACCGCCAATTAGCGGTGGCACTGCGATCGATAAAAAGTTGACAACTGATCGATTCTCCGCTTGTTGCATTGTGCAGAAGAACTGGCACAGGTTCAACCAAAGAGTCAGCTCTACTAAAATATACTGACGGCTAGGCTTGGAAAGATTGAATACTCAAAATTAGATGAGCTGTTTTAAGGATGATACTCCATTTCGGGTCCATGTGATAAACCTGAATGTTGGAGCATGTTGGAGCCATATCTGATCCAAAGGTTGAAGTCTCTTCAAAAGAAAACACCACCTCATGACCTGCACTGATTCGCGAACGCAGCAACGCACATGTGCTGAAAAACCCATCCAAAACAGCCCAGTGCACAAGGTGCCCATACCACCGTTAACGAGGCAAGATATGCAGATTGAAGAGTCTTCGAGAAAGGATGATTGCCCAGTACCGTCCCGAAGTCGCACTTGCAGATGTACCTGGTTGCCGAAACCAACGAAACAAGGGTGAAGAACGTCGCTATGTCCCGCAAAAATGGGGACCCCATCTTTTTGCAGCCTGATACCCGCCGTTTTCATCAATTCTCAAAGTGTTGGGAACCCCTGGGTGTGAAGATTTCCAACCTTTGGACATTGTCCGACGGGTCCCCCAGATTCTGCTTCACATGCTGGGGACGAAGAAACAACTACAAAATGACAAGAGAACATGATACCAAACGTACTAAAATTCACTCCCCAGTTGCGAAATCATCACCAAAGAAAGCATGTCAAAAGAAACATCACAGCATGTGACCACCAGCAGGTACAAAACGCTGGCTGCGCCCTGTGGATAGAGAAATTTCCAGAGCATATCGGGCATAACCAAAGCCAGCGGGGTTACCATGAGCAAGCTGATCAAGGCTGCAGTCAAGCCCCAACCCAAAATTATAGCTTCAATTCCTCTGCAGGGGTTGGGTCATGCGCCCAGGATGAGCCTAAAACATTCAAGAAAGTAAGCTCGTTGCTGGTTCCAATGCATCCAACAGACAAATATATTATAGTCAATCTTGATCATCAGCCCCAATGGGTTTGAACATCGCCAGCCAAAAATGTGTGGAACGAACAAACATGGGACTTTTCATCTTACCCCTTCCTTTATATCTGATCTCTTCGTCAGTGTAGTTGAGCCACGAGATCCTCTGCACCAAAAACTGAAACCTGTTGGTTCTGAGCGTTCTCCAGAAACTGTTGCAAAAGTCGCAACCAATCCAAATTATGACCTCGCAGTTGAAATCAGCTGATGCTAGGGCCAATATGTTTGTCATACACAGAAGCAAAATCATGAGCCCAGTCAAAAACTATGACCTGGCAGTGAAATTCAGTGCGTACTTAAAGCGGTGATAAATCAAAATCATGTGCCCAGCCAAAACTATAAAGTGTTGTACACGGTGAAACCTGAGACATACGTAATTTTCTTGAAAAAAAAAGTGTTCGCATGGTCCAAGCCGCGAAAGAAGAACGGCTTGGTACATGGCAATATTTCAACTTCAAGGTAACCAAAGCATGTGTCTCGCAGGATGATATGGGAGTTGCAAAAACACAATACCAGTAGTACCCGCAAGAGGGTGGAAGTTGCCTCAGGGTTATACCATAAGACAGACCT